TTGCTGCAGAGCAACACAGAGTGAAAGAGACAAGAAACTGGGCTCAATTCTCTGAGCAGGCAAAACAGCACATCTATTCATTCAAACCACCCTGGTATAAACCCAGTATTCTGCAAAACAGAACAAGTGCTGTGAGCACTAAAGACAGAGATTATGGCTTACTGTTTATAACAAGATCCTATAAAAGGAATCTTTGTTCTATGATTAACAAATTGCCAGATCTACAGAAACTTTGAATTTGGAGTACAGTTGACCCTTGAACAACATGGGGGAAGGAGTGCTAATACCCTCCACCCCAGTCAAAAAGCCACATGTAACTTCTGATTCCCAAAAAACATAACTACTGTTGACCAGAAGCTTTTCTGGTTACATAAAGTTGATTAACGCAAACTTTATATGTTTTATTATATGCTATCTTATAATAAAGAAATCTACAGAAAAGAAAATGTTATGAAGATAATCGTAAGGAAGAGAAAATACATTTATAGTCTATTGAAAAAAAATCTGCAATTCAGTCCAAACCTGTGTTGTTCAAGTCAACTGGACATGCTGTCTTTCTAATCACCCATTTTAAATATCCTTCGTTTGCAACTACCAATTAACTTAAAGTTATTGATCACTGTGTACCCTGGCAATTTGCTAGAAGCAACACATTATTGCAAAATATGTTAAGACTTGAGAAAGTAGATGCATGCAGAATGACATCAGAAGAGTAGAGCCTTTCTAAAACACCAGCAAGTTGGAGCGGAGACATGTCACTTTGATTATATTAAATGCAATCATTTCTTCTTTCTAAAAGCAACAATAACGAATAAACTTTTAACATCAGAAATGTTTACTAACAATTCAAGTAAACACTGGCTACATTCTTACTATAATACAATCTTTGACACAATTACAAACATGTATGCATTTCAAATATTAGCAAACTGCTTCAAAATGCAATTCTCAGGAAGTTTTAGTAATTTATTCACAGCTCAGGATTAAAATAACTGGACTTACAAGGCATGAGGAAGAAATGACCAATTGGTTCAGTTAACTAAACATTCTTTTAAAGAACAAAAAATTGAAACAGCAAGGATGATTCTAAAATTTCCAATTCATGAGCAATATAAACAAATACAAAAAGTTTTATTTAAACAAAATCATATAACCTTTAAAAAGCTAACAGGATCATTTCTATATTCATTCTGAAAACTAGTATGGTAAGAAAGGTAATTCAAGAATTTGCTAAAATGTTCTTAATAGCCATTATTTATGGTATATTCCCTAACACTTATATCAGCCTATTACAGACCTACAAGTTAATATGTTATAACTTTACCATCTTGCTACTTATGATTTTATTTTAACCCTGGGAATTATTGGCTCAAATCTAAAAATTATCAGTCCTATTGGTTGTCATGTCACAGATCTGAAGATGAGGTTAAATTAATCAAGCCAAGGAAATACTGATATATTAACAATACTTAAATATTGTGGGAGAAAAATGATTTAAGGGTTATAACTTGTAAATTTGATTCTAACACTAAAAACTAAGCAATCTGAAATATGCTTTTTTATTATTTAAAGTATTATATATAGTATTACATATGTCTCCTTTCCTCCCCATTGACCTTCCCCTGGCTACACCCCACCCTGAAATATGCTTTTATGGGTAAAACAGTCTATCTAATATCCTGGTTGGAAAAATCTACAAAATGTGTGGATATAAGGCTACAAAATATTTCTTTACTGACCATTTCCTTCAATTTCTTTGGCCTTCACAAATTCAATGAGAACTATGAATTCTTTTGCAATAAACACTTTTCAATGACATTGTACTTTTTCAGAAAAATCACTTAGGTTGTATTATACCACAATTAACATTAGTGTTTCCCTTCTATTGTTTTAGCATATTCTAATTTAAAAAAAAAAATAGGAAGAGGAAAAACTGACCCCCAAAGGATTTCTTAAAATGTTTGTTAAAGCAAACTTTCAGCGGGTTTTCCTCATTTGGAGAGTAAATAGAAGTGGCAAAGGAACATCACCAAGGAATTAAAAAAAGGCTCCTTTCCTTCCATTTACATAATTAACTCAGGCCAAGGGACCTGTATGTATTCAAAAGGATAAGACAATACACATCTCAGAAGCAATTTTCTAAAAAACTGAAGAAAGAAAATCTGTATTAGCTCCCTTGCCAATGGCCCCATCTGCACATTACCCTGTCCGTTCCCTTTTAGTAGTTACTGATGCTTGTTTTTCACCTTCAAATTTAATGAGTGCTGTTCCTTAGTGAGCCACAGACACAGGATCTACAGCCTGTGGTAACAGCTTACTCTCCAAAATGCACTTCACCTCTTCTGAGCATGATATACCCCAAAACTTGGATCATGATATAAGTAAAATCCACTTATAGCTCTTAACATTAAGGGTACTCTCTTACCCTTTCAATGACCCCAGTCTTCACTACTGATGAGCCTACCTGGAGACAAATGGGCTTTGCTTTAAACGAGATGCACCTTTCAGTACCTAGCACAGCGACTTGCCCATAATAAGTTGCTGACATAGTTATAACAAATTAAAATCAGTTAATATTAATTTCTCTCTTCTCATTTATCCCGATGGCATAGGTAATTAAAGAAAGACCAAAAAGCTGACTCCCAAGTAACAATCATTTCCTGGGCCCTGTGTTAAATGCTACACAACCCCAGGCCTTAAAAGGGCTTTATGGCCTGGCCAGTGTTGCTCAGTGGTTGAGCACTGACCCATAAACCAAGAGGTCAAAGGTTCGATTCCCAGTCAGGGCACATGCCCTTTCTCTGATACACAAGCAGAATTCTATGCCTCTCTTGCAGCAATTGCTATCAGAAAATCTTCATCTCACCAAGAAGTTCAAAAACAGAAAAAGGAATAGACTGAACTTACATAATTTGCTAAATATCTTACCTTCACAATTTTAAAGAGAAAACTTCTTAAAGAGAAGGACTTAACCAAAACATACATACCCTTTGCTATAAAATCCCCAAGATGTGGCCAAAAAAGCTTCATGAAGAAATTACAACTTTTTCAGTATCAAACTGTAGTCCACTCTAAATATTTTAATCTAAAGTATTAAGTTCCATTTCTGGCACTAACCAGCTAAAGTCACCTCAAGATCAATTTATTAATATCTTCTTCATTCCTAAATAACTTGAAGGGGTGGAACACAAAAAATATTATTACCTGGGAAATAATACAGGCATACCTCACTTTTTTGTGCTTCATTTTATTGTGCTTCACAGATATTGTTTCTGACAAACTGAAGGCCAGACCCTCAACCAGCAAAAGGATTACAACTCATCTACTGCAATCCTGGCTTTATTATATTGTCAGGATCCTAACCTGCAATAGCCAACCAAGGTTTGCTTGTACTGAATTTGACACAATCCTTCAATTTCTGTGTAAAGCACATAGCTTTTTCTAAGCCTAGGCTACCATATGAGGCAAATGATTAGCCAAAAGACTTGCAAATCTTCCAAACTATTGCAAAGAGCTCCCAAACCCATAGGAAGGTACTAGTTTTATAGAAGGCAGTGAAGGGAAGTTAAATTAATTGCAGGAAATTCTTTGGGACAAAGTTGAAGCGAATCCTGAATATATCAATATTGATTTAATTTGAGACATTTGATAACTCTGTGTGATGATTTCAAAGAACAAGATAAAATATGTCATTCATCTGTGATTAAACAGTACAGATACAAGAAAATAAAAACCATTTTTAAGAGATGAAAAAACAGAGTCGGATATCCAATATGTATATATTCCACCTTCAAATTTAAAATTATGTTGTTAGCTGTCCAAAGCAGCTCAAATTTAGTTTGTGCTATGAAATTATACAAATATTTTCTGGTAAGGGCTAGAGAAAACCAATGCACTATGATACTATTTAGCTTCCTAAACTACCTTGACCTACAGATAACAAACAATAAATGTGAGAGGCTAAGATGAACTTAACTTAGGTAGCAATCCCGCCAAGAGAAGTTTTTTGTTTTTAAGCACTCTAACAAATTTCAAAATAAATCATAGCATCTTGACCTTATATATAACTTAGCAAAACCATAATCAAATGTCCAAATACATTGCCACTGGCTTTAGATCTTCTAATAAAAGCACTACCCTTCATTGGTCTAAATGAATAAAAGCATGGTAAAACAAATGCCAATTACTTTTAAAATACTCAGATTGAAGTAAATAATCCAACACCCAGCAATTTTCTTTTAAGAAATTGAGAGCTAGCCGAAACCGGTTTGGCTCAATGGATAGAGCGTCGGCTTGGGGACTGAAGGGTCCCAGGTTCGATTCCGGGTAAGGGCATGTACCTTGGTTGCGGGCACGTCTCCAGTAGGGGTTGTGCAAGAGGCAGCTGATCAATGACTCTCTCTCGTCGATGTTTCTAACTCACTATCTCCCCCTTCCTCTCTGTACAAAATCAATAAAATATATTAAAAAAAAGAAAAGAAATTGAGAGCTAACCCTCACGGGCCAGTTTGGCTCAGTGGTTAGAATGTCAGGGACTGAGGTTTGATTCCCGGCTAAGGGCACGTACCTGGGTTACAAGTTTGATCCCCGTCCTGGTTGGGACATGTATGGGAGACAACCAGCTGATATGTGTCTGTCTCACATTGATGTTTCTCTCTCTCTTTCTCTCCCTCTCCCCTCCTCTCTCCTCTCTCTTTCCCTTCTTCCCTTCCACTCTTTCTACAAATCAATGGATAAAAGATCCTCGGGTGATGATTAAAAAAAAGAAAATGAAAGCTAAAGGTTTCTGATACTGATTCCACTTTTCAAACTTCCCCACAAATTACTGGAAAAATATGAGGTAATTTCACAAAAAGCACAATTTTAGTGGAATTATAACTAATATATAAATAAGAATTTACAAAGAAAAAAAAAAAAGGCTTAAAGGAGTGATATTTTAAACCAAGATTTTAAATACAAAAGGTGTCTTGTGTTGCTTAATCGCCAGTTTCAGGTGCTCCTTATTCTACTGTTACAGATTTTGCAAGATTCCGGGGGAAATCAACCTGCCAAAAAAAGGGGGGGGTGGCAAGGTTAAAGAGATTATACAGATTAGGGAGTGGTAGTGTTCTATAAGCGAATTATTTTTGTGAAAACAGAAAACTTTTTCATTAACCATCTTCACTATGGACTACAAAGAATTAAAGTAGAAAATACAGTTACATAATGTCTCTTTAAAGACTTGAAATCAGTTAGGAAAAAGAATCCTGAAGAAGCCAGTTCTGCACAGGAAGAGTCCAATGATGGCCTCCAGAGGAGGCAGGCCTCCGAGGGAACAGCTAAGAGCAGGATGTTTTGGTTGTCACAATGACTGGGGAACCAAGAATTGTAAAAGTTCTGAAATGTGTGAGATAGCCCTAAACAAAGAATTAGGAAACAGGATAACAACAGACAGAGATTCCCAAAAAAGGTAATATCTAATGGTGCTATAATCTCCAAGTTCTATGGTAAGAAAATGTTATGATGTAACCTACAAATTGGGCCAGATAAATGTAACAGGTGATAGACAGATAGAGAACACACACACACACACACACACACACACACACACACACACACACACTAGAGGCCCGGTGTGTGGATTCATGCACATAGAAAGAAAATTAGAAGGTGGCTGGTGGGAGCAGGACTGGGCGAGATGGGCCAGCCACACCCTGGAGCCAACCTCCCATAGTCCCTTCCCAGTGCACACAGGGCACCATCAGGGCTTAAAGTGCATCTGCAGAGTGATCAGGGTCCCTCCAGCAGGTGGGGTCCCTCAGCCTGGCCTACGGGGATTGGGCCAAAAGCAGCAGTCCAACGTCCCCCAAGAAGACCCATAGTGTGAGAGGGCACTCTGCAAAGTTGCTGTTGCTCAGCAGCTCCTGTTAAGCATCTGCCCCCTTGTGGTCAGTGTGTACCATAGCTACCAGCCAACCTTTCGGCTGGTCACCTAGCTCTTTATACACACACACACACACACACACACACACACACACACACACACACACCTCTACCTGATGGATTTGTCAAATGCTATTGCTAAATATTTAGAAGGAAAACTATTAGAATGTACTCAGGTAAAAAACCAGCCCCAGATTTCCGCAGTGCTCCATCACTTACATCATAGCCTCTCAGCACAGCAAGGTGGAAAGCCAGCAACTGTAAGGGGATCACACTGAGAATGCCTTGCAAGCAGTCCACTGAGTGGGGCACCTTGATTGTTCTTTTTGTGTTATTAATGGTCTCAGTATCTTCCTTATCACAAATCACCACTGGGCGTCCCTGGGAAAGAAAGCCACATACACAATCACAGATAAACAAAGTAAGAGGTATAGCAAGTGAATGTGCAAATTTTACGTTCAATAATTCACATGTGGCCTCACTAACACAGACTTATTTAAACTCACAATCCTATATGGTAAGTCAGACTGATCTCATAGTCAAGGAAATGAAAGCTTTGTGGGGGTCAGTTATTTAAACTCACACAACTAAGAAACACCAAGCTCAATACAGATGCTCCTCTGCTTATAAACCCATCATAAATTGAAAATATACACTGAGTGGCCAGATTATTATGATCTCTAAATGAATAATAATCTGGCCACTCAATGTATTTATATCTCAAATGGGTACCAAAAGTATTCTAGACTTTTGCAGGAGATCAACCACCTATTTGCCCTGAGCTTTCTATCAAGGGGAAAACTGATCAGGTGCACAATTTACAGTATTTAATATCAAATAAATGAGGTACTCAAGAGAAGTACACTGAATGGCCAGATTATTATCCGTTAGAGATCAATAATCTGGCCACTCAGTGTAAGCCAAAAATGTATTTAATACACCTAACCTACCAAACATCCTAGATCAACCAACCTACCTTTAACATGATCAGAACACATATTAACCTACAGTTGAGAAAAATTATCTAACACAAAGGCTATTTTATAACAAAGTATTGAATATCTCATGTAATTTATTATGCATGTTATTTCCATACCATTGTAAAGTCCAAAAATCCTAAGTCAAACCACCATAAGCCAGAGACTATCTGTACTTGAATTCAAGTCTGCCTGCCTTCAAAACTCAAGTTCATAACTACACTGTGAGTAGAGATTAATAGCTTTTGAGATTTATAAATAAAGCCAAATGATCAGAGGAAAACTAAATGAAGCACATCACCAGTAGTTTTAATATAAAATCTAGTTCCTCCTGAAAGACACATGTAAGAATATGTATTAAATTAAAATGGAGGAGCATAAGCTAATTAAAGAGGACAGGATTTGGAGAGCCAGACTTCGTTTTTGGTCTTGATTCTGCCTGTTGTGAGATCTAAGAGCTGAGTCTTGTCAAAACTCTTGAGAATCTAATCCATCAACATGTTTTATTAGCTATCTATTGGGCCCTGGTCTATTTCTTTAAATGTCATAAAATTCAATTAAGTTTTAATAGCCCAAGTCTTAGATTTCCCAAGGTGTCCTCACAACAGCCTCTGACTTACCTGCCTAGCAATCACCTGCTGAAAAGCATTCTGACACTTGGCATAAGTGTGATCTCTCATGATGATCATGATGACAGGCATCAACTTATCCACCAAAGCCAGAGGACCATGTTTCAATTCACCGGCGAGGATGCCTTCAGAGTGCATGTAAGTGATTTCTTTGATTTTCTAATAGAAAAGAACTAGATTAGTCTTCAGCATCTTTTTAAAAAACCCATTCTTAAGTAAATATTACACAAATATTAGATATCTGAAATTGCTATTTATCCAAAAGTATTAAAGAACCACTGATCTATAAATATAGCCAATAGGCTAACAGATCATTGTTTCTATAATATCTACAATAACTAGAAGTTTTAAAACCTACAAGGACTTTTTCAAGCATTATTTTAATTTAAATTTTTTTTTTTGTTAATCCTCACCTGAGTATATTTTCCCATTGCTTTTCAGAGAGTGGAAGGGGGTGGGGGAAGAGAGAGAAACATCGATGTGAGAGGGACACACATCGACTGATTGCCTCCCACACATGCTTCTACCAGGGGTAGGAAGCAAACCTCTAACCCAGTACGTGCCCTTGACAGGGAATCGAACCCAAGACCCTTCGGTGTGTGGGCTGACATCCTAACCAGAGCTTTTTCAACATTTTAGATTCTCATGAACATACTCATATTTCTTTGTAACTGTTTTTACTTGGTTAATGTTTGATCAGAATTAAATATCACATTTAGAGAACTTAATCTTTATTTTAGTCATATCTGGACATCAAATTAACCAAAGTCACTTGCTAAACCCAAGCTATCATGCTAAAATGCACTCTTCTTGATTTTCACTTTTTTATTAAGTATAAATTGTTATACCTTCTCAGGGTAAACAAATCAGAAAGCATAAAAACAAAAGCACTTGTAAAAGTTTCACCTATTCCATTCAAACTAAAAGTATGATTATGTGTCAGGTCCATAAGAAAACAGAGTGAAATTATAAGTGAGAAGACTTACTAGTGCCCCTTCAAGACAAGTAGCATAATGATAGCCACGCCCCATTATTAAGACCGACTTCTGATGATAAAGTTCTGTGGCCAGTTTCTGAATTTCATCATCCATGCTCAGTACTTCTTTAATCAAATCTGTTAAGAAGTAACATTAACAACATCTATGAAAAAGGATATTTAACCAAACCAATATGAAAACAATAATATATTGGTAGCAACTACAAAAGACCAGTGTTTCTATTCCCTTGTGAAATCAGAGAGGAATTTTTAAATACGAAGGTGAAAAAGTAGGAAGATTTAGTGACTAAACAGCTAGAAGCCACAATTTCAAGTACAAGAAGAAAATGACACCCATTACTGGCTCCCTTAGACAACAAAATAGTAGTAAAAGAGCATCTTCGTACCAGGCAGCCGCTTTAATCCAAGCATGATCTCTTTGCGTCTCTCTTGCATGGAAATCCTGTCATCACACATCATAAGGGCAAACATCACAAGGGATACAAACTGGCTGGTGTAAGCCTAAAACACCACAAAAAAAAAAAAAAAAAAAAAAAAAAAGCAGCAGTTGTATTTTAAGAACTTAAGAGTTTTTCATTTTAAAAATATGCAAATAAATTCCCATTGGTTTTATAAGCATATATTGTCCTTTTTTTTTTTTTTAATCTTCACTCAAGGACATATTACTGATTTTATGGAGGGGAAGGAAGAGGGGAAGGGAAGAAGATAGAAGGGGAAGATGGAGGGAGGGAGAAAAACCTTGGTGTGAGAAACATCGATTGGTTGCCTAAATGCCAGTAAGGATATGGAGAAAAAGGAATCCTAGTACACTGTTGGTAGGAATGCAGACTGATACAACCACTATGCAAAATAGTGTGAAGTTTGCTCAAAAAATTAAAAATGGAACTGCCATTTGATCTATAGGAATAATTACATTAATAATGTGCTATTAACTTTTGTGAATACTGCCTTCTAATCTCTACAATGTTTTTCCTTTTATATTATTTAGAAAATTCTTAGTAGGTATAATTTTGTAACTTGCTTTTATTCTTAACATGATAAATACTTTCCCAAGACAGAATGCTTTCTTTCTTACTTACTAGTGTGTAATTATCTTAAGGAACTTTTCCCACCTCTTTAGGCCTCAGATGGCCCATCTGTTAAAAGTACACAATACTTACAAGATAATCGTGAGGACAAATGAGACAAGTATAAATCATTCAACATAATGTCTGGCATATAGGCTAAAAACAAACTTTTAATTGATGAAAGCTTGAACTTTAATTCAAAGAATTTTTTTCTTAAAACTAGACTTGTGAATATTTTAAAATTTGCAGTCATGCTGCCAAGACAATTTTTATCCCCATTAGCTGTATATAAATGTAAGATATGACTGTTTTGTCACATTCCTTATAATATTGAGAATTAGCCTTTTAACAAATTTTTGCCATTGACTGATAGACAATGGACTCTTCCTCCTCCTTTACCATATATATCTTGAATCTAAAGAAACTGATTTTTATTCATGCTTGTTAGCCATTTATGTTTCTTCTTTTAAAGATTAACTTCATTGTTCTTCACTTATTTTCAACTTCTGCGTTTGTGGTTTTTTGTTTTTTTCTTTTAAGTTGGTCGTGTCCTAGCCAATTTGGTTCAGTGAAGAGAGTGTCAGCCTTCGGATGAAGGGTCCCGGGATTCAATTCTAGTCAAAAGCACATGCCTTGGTTGCAAGCTCGATCCCCAGAAGGGGGCATGCAGGAGGCAGCCAATCTGTGATTCTCTCTCATCACTGATGTTTCTATCTCTCTCTCCTCCCTTTCGCTCTGAAATCAATAAAAATAGATTCTTTTAAAAAGTTGATTGTAAGGTCTTTACTGTTATGTTTCAAATACTTTTCTCCAGTTTGGTCTAACCTTAATGGTGTTTACTGACACAAGATTTCATTTTTTTTTTTTTTAACTGTTATGTATACTTTTAAATTTAAAAAATTTCAGGGAGAGTGAGAGATAGAAACATCAATGATGAGAGAGAATCACTGACTGCCTCCTGCATGCCCCCTACTAGGGATCCCTAACTGGAATCAAACCCAGGACCCTTCAGTCCACAGGCAGTCTATCTACCGAGTTAAATTAGCAGGGCCCATTTTATTTGACGTTTTCATTTCATTTTTAGACCACCTGACATTAATTTTTGTACAAGGTGTTAACTTATGTTTTTCTATTTTTATAAATAAACAACTTTTCCTTCATTTCAATTTCACTCCACCTTTTCTTTACTAGTTTGAAACATTCATTTGATGTAATGGAGTTATGTTGCAGGACTATTGATTCTGTCTTACAGATCTGTCATTTTTTTTTTTTTACAAAATAATCTTCCCATCCAGAAATATGGTATTCCATCAATATGTGTTAGAAATTTAAAAGTCTATAAAGCAGTGGTTCTCAACCTTTTTAATGCTGTAACCCTTTAATACAGTTCATGTTGTGGTGAGAAATCCCCTTCTAAATACACACATCTATATCATTTTTAAGTAGCCACTACTTAGAAAAGTATATAAAGAAAATATTTTTGTATATGCCGGCATGTCTTATATAAAGCAATAAGAAATATTTTACTTGATATTTTTGGGCTCTATACAGGTAGTCAATCATGTCAATTGCAACTAAGAATTTTATTTTCTCCTTTTCATTGTTTACTTATTTTTTCCTATTAAACTGGATGGAACTCCTACAACTGGGATAGCAAATATGTTTCACAGAGAGCCAATCCTCAGTGAAACATCATGTTGAAAAAGATTCTAGTCTAAGGCCACCTTTTTTACTTCACAGTAATACAGATAAAATCCTAGGAAGATTCCAGAAGAACAGCTAAGACCTTCTAAGATGAAGGTCCTAAAGCTTTCTGTTTTGCAGTTCCTTCATTCATTTTTCTCTATTATTTGACTACATTGCTTTATTGAGTTTCCTTTTTCTAACTTTTTTAAATACTTAATTCATTTTTTAAAGATAAGCATTTAATGCTATGAATTTACCTCTAATTATAAATTTGGACACACACTAAACTTTTACTCACAATGTTCATTATCATTATTTCTTCTAAGCCTTTTAAAATAGTAGTTCTGATATCATTTTAACTCAATAGTTATTTAGAGGAATGTTTTTATGTTTTAGGTATTTGAGGTTTTTACTGACACATTTATTATTAAATCACTAGGATTACTGTGGTGTGCCAGCTATAATGTTATCTACAACTTTAACTTTAGGAAATTTATGTTGACTTTTTTTGTGTATGTGTGATGGATTATATGCTTTCTGTTACTCTTCTCTAGATAAGCAATCACTTCATTAGTGAAAATTTTCCTTTCAGAATATAGATAATGAGCCTCCAATATAACAAATCAGTCTACCAATGCTCCTCACCTTCCCAATAGTTCAATGAAATACCCTATTTCCTCTTACTAGACCTCCCAGCTATCAGCTGCTCAGATATTCCTCCACAAACAGCTACCTGTCCCTGTGTTGCTATGAGTTCTATTGATGCACTGAGATTTTTTTCCTCCATAGCACTGAAGTAGATTTGTAGTTCTTTACCTCCAATCTTTTTTTGTTGTTGTTGTTAAATATTTTATTGATTTTTTACAGAGAGGAAGGGAGAGAGATAGAGAGCTAGAAACATCGATGAGAGAGAGTCATCGATCAGCTGCCTCCTGCACACCTCCTACTGGGGATATGCCCGCAACCAAGGCACATGCCCTTGACCGGAATCGAACCCGGGACCTTTCAGTCCCCAAGCCGACGCTCTATCCATTGAGCCAAACCGGTTTCGGCCTTTACCTCCAATCTAATGAGCACACTATATTCTAAATTTCAGTTCATACTGAAGTTTACTTTACAATACACCAATTAATCACAAATTGTATTTCCAGACAGAGGGAGAGACCCAGTATCTTGGACCCCTGAGATACCTAAGTTGTTTCCAATCCAAACTGATCAGATAATGAGCATTTCAGTTTTTCTATACCATAACTAAAAATGTTATTCTCTAGAGTAATGTTTCTTTGTTTGGACCTGAGACATTTAAACACTGGTTTCTAAGTACAAATATTAAACAGAATAATCTTAATGCACATATTTTTCCATTGAATCCCTTATCACAGCTTAATTTCAGTTTCATGTTTTTCATTTCCCCAATAACTACCAGGAAACCAATTATGAGAAAAATAAATTATACCTCACATTTTGAATTTATTGAGGTTTGAAAGAATTTAACAGAAAAATGTTGACTCTCAACTTTTAAACTTGGTTTTACTTTTTACTTAGCCAAAAATAAAGTTATATTGGTTTTTTGGGTTTTTTTAATCAACAAAAGTCAGTACAGTGGTAAAATTCTAAACACCTGCAATAATATACACAAATCACTGAACCTGTATATTTATACCCATTAGATGTATCAAATTATCTATGGTATGATATTATGAGAAAGTTAGTAATATCTTTCTAATCCTGACAGTTTCTCAGGCAAAGCTGGGAATTCATAACCAAGATTACAGTATTCTTGGCTAGCTCCATCACAAGGCCCCCAATGATGAGCCTCTTTGATCACCCATTAACATATTTGCCATTCAGAAATGGTCTATAACTAATCTTTTCAAGATTGTCTACGGCTATTAAAGAACACAAAATTACTTTAGAATCCAATAAAAATTAAATGAGACTAAATTACCATACTTATTAATATCTTAAGGGAGTTATCTTATTAAACAAATTAAAGTATGTACTATAAAAAGATACTTATTTTCTTATGTAAGGTGTAACCACTAGGAGAAACTTTGTGAAGAGTACATGGACTTCTCTGTACTATCTCTACAACTTCCTATAAAACTAGTGATTTCAATATAAAGTTTTTCTTTAAAAAAAAAGGACTTACAAAAAAAATCCTTTTAAAAAAATCATGAATAAATATCATGAATAAATATCATGAATAAATCTCAAAAAATCTCATGTTAAATAAAAGAAGACAGCTACAAAAGACGTATTTTATATAACTCCCTTTATAAGAACTTCCTAGAAAATGATGTGACAAGAGAAGACAATAGTAGTTGCCTGAAGCTGAGGGGTAGAAATGAGGATTGACTCTACGGGGGCAAAAAGAAACTTTTTCAAGTGAGTAGGTGTTCTAAAACTGGACGTAAGAGCCAAATTTACTAAAACTACACATTTAATAACTGGTGAGTGTTATTTACAGTATGAAATTATATTTCAATAAAGCTATAGAAAAAAGGTTAACAGTAAAATCTAGATAATGGTATATGATTGTTAATGTAAAAAATTTTTAACTCTGCTATATGTTTGAAAATTATCGTAACAAAATGTTGAGAAAAATTAGTCTTCATAAGCTATACAATTAGAAATTTTAAAAAGTTGTATTTCCCCTGGCAACTTACAGTTTAAGAAAGATTTAATAAAAAGTAAAGTCAACAAAACAGCGTCCATTCAGTTGAGGGATGTACACATACCACATGAAACCCTTGTTTCACAATGTGTGGTGAATAAAAGGGCCCTGGGATTCCAATCCCCAATCAAAGCTGTCCAAAAATCACAAGCTCCTGTTTAGAGCAGTTGGTTATTTATTCAGGCACAGACTGGAAACCCAAGCACAAACATCTTACATGTTTTAATTATCACACAGAGAAAATTCAGGTTTCAGCTTTCTATAAATTATAGTGTTGGCAGTATCCAAGTAACCAACAAACTCTCTTCAGAGGTTTTACATAAGAATCACAAATTTTCCATACAAAAATTCTCCATGAAGTTCTTTAAAAGAAAAAAATATTTAAATGTGGTTATGTATGTTAATATAATCTTCCAAACGCCTTTAATTAGAATCAAATCCACCAATACCTAAGTATCTTACCAGATAATCAGCAAGAAATACTGAACTTAAGCAGAAAATTAGACAACTGAAATTTTGTAATCATACACTTTGCATATATACACTAAGATTCCTATTTTTATTAACATATTTATGCATATCCCAATTTCAAAGAGCAAAGTAGTTTCAGTAGGCCTTAAAAAAAATGAGGGTGCTTTTAAATCTCCATGAATGTAGTATCTAAAGAGAAACAGTTATATAACACTCATTTTTATTTAATTTCCAAATTCTATACCAAAGGTGTACTCCTCTTTAGAAGCTTTTAAAGGTAGTATGTATATTTTAGTACATTAGAAACTATAAATATGTAAATAAAATTTCAAAGATTATTAGAATTAAACTGAATGTTTTTAATCTGTTATTTTTCTAACTCCCTACTATACATAATAAAAGAAGGGAACATTATACTTATCTATGTACCTGGCATGAGGATATAAGTGATGAATGGGGACAGTAGCAGAGACCTTTTCAAAATGGACTTATGTTCTACTAGAGACCCGATGCAGGAAATTTGCACAAGGGGCTCAGCCCTGGCAGCCCTGGCTTCGTCCAGAAGGTCGTCTGGAAGGATGTCTGGAAGGTTGTCGGCTGTCCAGGCTAATTAGCATATTACGCTTTTATTATTATAGATATATTTGTCCTTTCAAATTCTTAATATGGAGGTGATGAAGGGGACAGTGTTTTATCTATTGTTGACTCTTAAGTCTTACAATAATTAGTAAACTGTGAGTTCTGTAAGTGCTAACAAGTTAAATGCAAGATATGATTAGTCTGTTTCAACAACACTATGGTTAAATAATTACATAAGAACTAAGTCAAGAATTTACCTTTGTGCTGGCCACGCCAATCTCGGGCCCAGCATTAATGTGAACTCCACAGTCTGTCTCCCTTGATATGGAACTGCCGACAGTGTTTGTGATCCCCACAGTTAAAGCTCCTCTCTCCTTGCAGTACCGAAGACCCATCAGGGTATCTGCTGTCTCACCTGTGTATAAAGGAAGACAAAAGTAGCACATACAGCATTTAATAGATGCTTTTTTAGATGTAAAAACAAAAAACTGACTACACTTTTTTTTTTCCTTTTTTTTTTTTTTAATATATTTTATTGATTTTACACAGTGAGGAATTGAGAGGGATAGAGAGTTAGAAATGTCAATGAGAGAGAAACATCGACCAGCCGCCTCTTGCACACACACACCCCACCCCCCACTAGGGATGTGCCCGCAACCAAGGTACATGCCCTTGACTGGAATCGAACTTTCAGTCTGCAGGCCGATACTCTTATCCACTGAGCCAAACCGGTTTCAGCAAACTGACTACACTTTTTGTCTTATTCGTCTTAAATGAAATTTAAACCATGCATTTAAAATAATAAATTAGCAAAACTTTAACAGTCTCCTACTTTTTAGGATCTTCTTTCTTTCTCTGTCTTTGAAAATTCAGCTCTTTGAGTTTAAAACATGTTTATTTTACTAATTCATTAAGATTCACATATCAAAATAAATCTCAATTTGCCATTTGCAATACCAGTTTATCTTTAAATATCAAGTTTTGCCAAGATAATTTTTAGAAAGAATGACTTTCCTTTTTGCCAAGTCTTTAAAATTAGCATACCTGACTGACTAATAAAAAAGCAAACGTCATCACGAAAAACTGGCGTGTTTCTATCCAGGAAATCACTGGCTAGCTCCACCATAACTGGCAACTCAGTCAGCTCTTCAAGAACTTGACGTGTCTGTAAAGAAAAAATTATTTGGTCAAACAACTTTACTTCAAATACTCTTTTTCATTGGCCTTCTTTGGACTTAATGTATAGTTTTTACTTTTTCTGATTATAAAAATGAAACATGCACGTTGTTAGAAAATATAAACAATACAGATTAAAGCACAAAAAATAAAATAATCAAAATCTCACCATGCAGTGGAAAGCACATGTAGAAATGTTGAGAAGCAGAAAAAACACTATTCTGAATTAGCTTGTATGTTATCTCTAACTTCCCAATTTTAGTCTTTAAATGACGATTCATAAAATACTAAATCAGAGAAATTCCAAATAAGATAAACACCAGTGAGAAATTAAACACTTCAAATACCATATATTCATTCAAAAAAAAAAAAAAAGTCAACACATTTCAGAAATCTAGTTTTGAAAAAAGCTCACTACCTTCAAATTTGGTAGTATGGAAGGTAAAGTAGGAGGTAGTATGCTTCTGCTCAGAGAGCACCTTAAAATTCACTTTAATTAAATTCCTTTTACTCTAAACATCAGAAAGTTAAAAACAATGGGAAAGCAAAATTTTAGGCAACAAAAATTTTAGGCCCTTCAGTTGCATACATTTAGTTACTTTATTAATAACTATGTAGATCACCTACTATTTTTTTAATATATATTTTTTTATTTTTTTACAGAGAGGAAAGAAGAGGGATAGAGTGCTAGAAACATTGATGAGAGAGAAACATCAATCAGCTGCCTCCTGCACACTCCCTACTGGGGATGTACCCGCAACCAAGGTACATGCCCTTGACCGGAATCAAACCTGGGACCCTTCAGTCCGCACACTGACGCCCTATCCACTGAGCCAAATAGATTGGGGCAGATCACCTACTTATTTAGGTAAGTGGCCCTGCCCATCTCTGCCCCACCTCTGCATTTCTCCTCCTTCACAGAAATGAAAAACTGTTAGGTTTCCTTACTTCATATTCCTTCAACTTTCTTGCCACAAATGTGAACTAAATCATTTTCTATAACTTTGGATTGGCACTTTTTAAAAAATGTTATAACATCATGTACAGAAAGTCTTCAAGGATAAAATGTTCCTATTTTTAACTAACTTTTTTCCATTGATGTATTTAATTTACTAATTTTACATAAATTACTGACACTAAAATGCTAAATATTTTCCCTCAAACATAAATCAAACTTTCCTGTCCCAGTTTACAATATAAATGTTATACTGGAATTATACTCTTCAAAACTAAAAGAGAAAGATACAAATCTGGCAACCTACCAAATATTTAAAATCTAGAGGCTTGGTGCACAGATTCATGTACTAGTGAGGTCCATCATACCTGTGCACAATTGATTGATGCCAGGGAGGGACCAAGAGAGGGCTCCAGGTCATGTCTGGCCCATCTCACCCAGTCCCAATCAACTGGACCCCAGCAGCAAGCTAACCTATCGGTCAGAGCGTCCACCCCCTGGTAGTCAGTGTGCATCATAGCTACTGGTTGAACAGTTGCTTAGGCTACATATATATATATATATATATATATATATATATATATAATATACCTCAGAAAGTAATCTGAAGGTGTATCTGTGCTAATAAATGGTTTGATCTTTCAATAGAAGGAACTCTTTAGAAATAGAGAGAATGACATATTTTCATCATAAGAGCCTCACTTAATGTTAAATTCCATTGCATGCCACTGGAAAAACCCAAAGACAATAAACATTTTTAAAAGCAATTTATACAGTGAGTCCTCAGGCTACATCGGACTTGATGTACATCATTTTGTGGTTACATTGCAATCTCCCATTTATTTATTAAAAAAAAAAAAAATTCTGTCATTTCGCTTCATTACTGCATGAGTGTCATGGGTTCCAACTTACGGCGAAAATTGTGTTACGTCACGCCATAGGAACAGATCTCTGACATAACCCGAGGACCTACTGTACTTAGAATGATTTTATCATAGTTAATTGTTACTGTTCAGGATACACAGTATATATTATACTAAAAAAGCAATTACGCAAATGTGTCATTCACATTTGACACCACCAAAAACAAAAAACTATATAGAATTAATGACATTATTTTGCCAAGACCAGTTTGGCTCAATGGATAGAGCGTCAGCTTGGGGACTTGAAAGGTCCCGGGTTCGATTCCGGTCAAGGGCATGTACCTTGGTTGTGGGCATATCCCCAGTAGGGGGTGTGCAAGAGGTAGCTGATCGATGACTCTCTCTCATCGATGTTTCTAACTATCTCTCTCCCTTACTCTCTGTACAAAATCAATAAAATATTAATTTTAAAAAAAGAATTAATGACATTATTTTGTATGATAAACCATGAGATTGCTAATGTTAGTTAACTATAGTAGTTTCAGCATCCACAAAAACAAAAAATAGCCCTAACTGGTTTGGCTATGTTTTGTTTCTTTGTGGATAGAGCATTAACCTGCAGACTTAAGAGTCCTGGTTTCCATCCCAGTCAGGAGCACATGCCCAGGTTACAGACTCAATCCCCAAAAGGGGGTGTGCAGGAGGCGCCGATCAATGATTCTCTCTCATCATTGATGTTTCTCTCTACCTATATTTAAAAATAGCTTAAATCTTTTCAAATTTCAGAGTTAGGAAAGGTTAACAGAACATATAACTTCTGCCCCACAGTTCAAACTTAGCATTAGATACAACATTTACTCAAATTTTTAATTTCTGAATGGGTTTATTCAGTAATAGATCTAAACCACCACTAAATTAACCAATCCCTTAATTTACACTATTATTTTCAATTCATTCTTTCTTTCCCATGCTCAAAACCATCACTTTTTTACAATTCTTCCCTTTGATACTGCAGCCTTTCCTTTTTAGGACTATATAATTTCTTTTTTAAAAGAAGAGTAAAGTCTGTTGAAATTCAAGGACTGGTTGACTAGTTTTAAACCACTAAATAACTGGCTCCCGCAGGTGTAAACAAATATTTATGCCCAGCAAATAAAAAATTACTATGTCATGAACTTTAAGAATCATCCTGAAAATAGCAACTGAGTATGAAAGGATCTTCTGTACTATGGGAGCTGACATCAGCAGCAAATAAACTACACATGGATACGATTTATTGGACTAAAAGACTGTTATATTCCTATGCTTCTGCACTGACAACAACACACTGCTTTAATATAAAATTTCAGCTTCCAAAGTAACAGTTTAAAGAACGAAGTCTGACATAAGGCAGACTTTCTTTCTCTGTAGAAACCTGCCTGCCAAGTAAAATCCTGGTGAGGTTCACACATGGTACCAGCCTCTATCTGGGGAAAGTGAACAATGAGAAGCAAAACTCAATGGCTGCTCTTGTAGAAGTAGGTATGTGCACTAGACCACAAGGTTAAGATGGTGCAAAAACTTTCCCTCTCTTTGCCTTCCACTAACAAAGTCATTGCAGGCATTCGTCTAAGATCCTTTTTAAAGAAGATCTTCTATTAATAAATAATTCCAAGGATCTATTAATATTTCTGCCCCCAACCTTCTTGATTTGTCATGCAAATTGAAAAGATAACATGATGATTTAACCAAGAATAGTTTTATATGGTGTGCTATTGGAAGTACTATTTTTCTGCAGATATATTCTGATACTAAACATATTACAATTAAGATTTTAAGAAGCTACTTACAGCTACACCAGCATGATAACTTGTTCCACAAGCAATAAGAATCAGACGCCGGCACCTCTGGATCTCCTTAATGTGATCCTTCAAACCACCCAAATTCACTGAAATAAAAGTTCATGTATATAATTATTCAGGAAAGAACTATATGAAATAAGCAATCATTTTTCATAAGCGCCCACCAGGAAGCAACAGAATTTTAAAGAATTCGTATTCTTCTTCTGAGGAGCCCTTGTAGAAGTAGGCATGTGCACTTTCCACTGAGCCAAACTGGCTAGGGCTCCTCTCAGTCTTTTCCATCTCATTCACCTACTGTCAGAGTCATCCCCATTGCTCCTATCCCTTCTGCACATCCCCTACAACAGCAAGTCTTAGGTGCTCCACCTTCAAATCATACCTCTACTACCATCACCCCATTCCAACATTTCTCCCCTGGATGAGACCAACATTCTAACTATTCTCCCTTCAGTTTTTCACTTCCTAGAGCTTGTTCTCCACACACAGCCAAAATAACCTTTTAAAGTGATTCTTTAAAAACGTGAATCTGATATTAAAATCCTCTTGAAGAGTCTGTCCTCCTTCTGTATACATAAACTTCTAAGAGTACCTTGATTGTGAACCCTTCTACACAAGGCTGGTTTTCTACCTGTGAGAAATTTTCATTCAAGAATCATTCAAGTATTGAACTAATATTTACTGAGTACCCACCAAGCCAACATACTGTCCAAGGCAACCAGAGCTCTCAGGCAGTTCAGAGTCTGGCTGAGGAGACAGATGTGCACAGCCGGGAAGCATCCTCCTACATCCTACACACCATCCATCTGCCTGTTCTTCATCTCCCCACCATTTTTTCTACCTTAATAAGCTAAAATATGGAACCAAGGTATATGTTTTTACTTTTTATCTTTTTGAATAATTTTATGTTCTTCATTTTATAATATTTCTTTATCTTAAAAATTAATAAAGTGGGAAATAAAACAATAAAAAGGTTCCCTGGTTTCCCAAATACCTCAGTACAGAATTCAAACCCCTTATTATTGCCTTCAGGTTTCTACATGCCTGTCTCCTGCTCAACTCTAACCTAATCTCCTCATACTTCCCCTCTCACCCATGCCACACCAGCCAAACTGACCCTCTGGCTGTTTCTACACTAAACCAAGCCTGTTTGTGTACTTTTGCCTACAATGTTATTCCACAGACCTCGGCATGTAGCAAAAATGTTTGGGAAGAAAGTAAGTAACACTAAGATGTTGGATAAAGGCAAATCAGTTTGGACACAACTCAGTATAAAAGCCGACAGGCTGTCAAAGAGACTTGTATTTCAGATTACGATCAAGAATGACAGGGTTGCTCCACCAGTGAAGCTCAGTGGTTGAGTGTCAACCTATGAACCAGGAAGTCATGATTCGATTCCCAGTCAGGGCACATGCCCAGGTTTCGGACTCGATGTGTGGGGCGTGCAAGAGGCAGCTGATCAATGATCCTCTCTCATCACTGATGTTTCTATCTGTCTCTTCCTCTCCAAAATCAGTACAAATATATTAATCAAACAACAAAAAAGATGACTGGTAGCCATATATTCTATAATGCTATCAAAGTCAATAAACTTTCAGGCTGTCAATGCCAACCCCCACAGACTTTGAAATAAAAAAATAATTCATATGTAATTACCAGTATAGTCATCAAAGTTGACTCTTCCTCTCATTGTGTTCACAACTGACTCTGGCTGCTCAAAAATTTCCTTCTGCATAAATGAACTGAAGTTTCCTAAAGGAATATAAATTATATCATTGAAAAAAATAAACAAGCCAAAGAATAACAAATTTGTACAAAACTAAAAATCTATCTCCTTTGACATAATCTTAGTAAATGAAATGAAATGAAAGGTTTCATTTCAATAGAGGACAATGCTCTTATATGACATTCTACCCTATCTGAAGAAAAATGAACAAAGAGAAAAAATCATGTAAAATATGCAGTTACAGTAAACAGAGGAGTGGGGCAAGCTTAAGTTCTGAATTCAAACCTAGGTATGAATCAATGATATTATTAGCTAAGTGACCCTGGAGAAATACCTTAATCTGTAAAATAAGAATAGCAGCTATTTCATGGCATTGTAGTATGGACATATACAGTAAGGACTTGAAACATAGTTGCTACATAATAAATGTTAGTTTTTATTCCCACTACAACCCCACCAAAAAGGAGAAGAAAAGCCATAATCACAATAATTATCTATTCTATAATAATAAAAGCATAATATGCTAATTAAACCGGACCTCCTTCCGGATGCCCGGTCCCGGGTGCCAGAGGGAAGCCGGTGCCAGCAGCCAGGGGAAGGAAGGCCTACTCGTGCACAAATTTCATGCATCAGGCCTCTAGTAATAGATGAGAGCAGCAAACATTACGAAGGGTTCATTAAGTGAGTCAGGCACTATTCTAAGGACTTTACATATATTAGCTGTCTTAATCCTAACTGAGGTAGAACCTATTATCCCCAATTTATATATAAGAAAACTGAAGCACAGGAAGAATAAGAAAGAATAAAGAACAGAAAACAAACTATGTTTATAAAGCATCTTAAAAATGTTAAGTACTATTTAAATAATCTCTTTTTAATGTGAGGGAAAAAAACCAAAAACATGGATTAGTTGAAGGAGAAGTATTATAAAACTAACAGATAATTTCTTCAGAGAATCATTTCTTCCCTGGGGCTATCCCTTCACTAATCATGTGGACAATTTCACTCAGCACTGTTATCGGATTTCTACACTAGACAGGAAGTAGAATGTACCCTTTCCAATAAGGATACTAAGCTATAACATGATAAAACTTTCACCCTTCATGATCTGCTGGAGTTCCATCCGGAGGGTTTGCACAGCTCTTCCAGGATGATCCCCTGCAGTTCGTTTAATTCGATGGATAGAAAGACGGCCATCTACCACCGCTGCTACGTCATCATCTTCAAGAAAGATGACGCGATTGGTATGTTCTATGACAGCACTATAAAACATTCAAAGAGATAATCAAGGATGATTATTAAAACTATCATTTGGAGCCGAAATCGGTTTGGCTCAGTGGTAGAGCATCGGTCTGTGGACTGAAAGGTCCCAGGTTCGATTCCGGTTAAGGGCATGTACATTGGTTGCAGGCACATCCCCAGGAGGGGGTGTGCAGGAGGCGGCTGGATGATGTTTCTCTCTTATTGATGTTTCTAGCTCTCTATCTCTCTCCCTTCCACTCTCTGTAAAAAAATCAATAAAATATATTAAAAAAAAAAAAAAAAAACTAGCATTAGGACACAAACATCAAATTTAAATACAAACTCAGATTTTTAATTATTTCTTACAACTTTTGTGTTATCATACTTTATTAGTACAATTTCAGTAATCCTATATAATAAAACCCTAATATGCAAATCAACCAAATGGCAAAACAAACCGTTGCTATGATGTGTAGTGACCACCAGGGGGCAGACACTCAACGCAGAACCTGCCCCCAGCCCATAGGCCCCAACGGGGGAGGGGTGACAGGAAGCGGACCAGCGAGCTTGGGAGAGCCAGGCCAGCCAAAGTGGGTGCCAGTGTGTGTGTGGAGGGGCCCATCACCCCACTGGTTGCCCCGCAAATCAGCCCTGATTGCCAGCCAGGCCTAGGAACCCTCCCCATGCATGAATTTCATGTGCCAGGCCTCTAGTATTATTATACTTGAAATCCTTTTTTTCTTGAAATATTAGTGTTTATTGCAAATAACATTATTATATTTTAAAAAGTAAATTTAAAAAAAAAAAAAAGAAAAAAAATACAAACTCTATCATCCTGCAATATTTCTGATAGCTTTCTGGTTATTGAGGGAAGTCAGGGTGAGGGCTGGTCACTGTGGACAATGAATAGAAGGATCTCTATGAAGCAACTTAAACCAAATTAGATTAGATCTGAAAGAAAGCATGGTTGTTTCTTCCTCATTTTATCCATCACCAAGTACTCCAATTTTAACTCCTAAGTATTTCTCAAAGCTTCTATGTCCACCACCACAAACCAATTCAAGCTATCATCAATTCAGCTATCTTTGCTGAATTACTATAGCAACCTCCTAACTTGTCCACCCACATTCCCTCTAATCTTCCTCCATCCACTGTCCATTTCTACTAAAATGGATATCAAAAGGCAACTCTAATCAGGATTTCTCCCTCCATGACTGCTTCCCTTTGGCTCTTAGGAAATCAACAAAAGGCATAATAACTGTGACCCCTACCCACCTCCTCTAGCCTCACTTCCCCCCTCTATTCCAGCCCACACTCCCACCCATCCCAAACTCTCACAGGCTGATCAATCTGCAGAGAATGAATGTTCTTTCCTCCATCTCTTTACCTATTTAATCCTATTATCTCCTTCATTCTCATTTCAAGCATCATTCCTTTAAAGAAATGTACTCATGAGGGTAAGTCACCTGTTATAACATTCTGTAACTCTCACCACAGCTGGAATTCTACACTTGTGTGACTATTGATTAAAATTTGTCTTCTCTATTAAGAAAGAGCTCCTTGTCCTAGCCAGTTTGGCTCCACAGATAGAGCATCAACCTGCAGACTAAAGGGTCCCCAGTTTGATTCTGGTCAAGGGCACATGCCTGGGTTGCAGGCTTGATCCCCAGTAGGGAGCATGTAGGAGGCGGTCAATCAATGATTCTCTCTCATGACTGATATTTCTGTCTCTCTAACCCTCACCCTTCCTTTCTGAAATAAATAAAAATATGTAAAAATAAAAAAGATTATTATTTGATGACAAGTAATATTTTTTATTCACCATTATCTCCTAAGCAGAGTAGATGCTTTGCTAGTGTGCAGTTAAGACCATATGAGTGAATGAGTAAAAAAAGGCTGAGATGTTTCTGCAACCTCATTTATTTAAGCTATAGCTGTCAACTATGTAACAAACCTACTTACTGACAGCAATGACACATCTTAGTACGGACTACACACTTATAAAAATTAGAACACATTAAAGCTTGAAGCTTGTTTTCCCACTGAGATAATAAATTCTCTACAGTCCCAAACTCCATCAGTTTTCACTTTTAGATCTCCCTAGTTTCAGGCACAGTGAATGACTCAAATTCTTGTTAGCAATTTGAATGATTCCATTTTATATCCATTACTAGAGGCCCAGGGCATGAATTTGTGCATAGGGGGTGTCTAACCGGCCAACCCCGATTGCGGCCAATCAGGTAGGGCTGGTGAGGGGTAGGCAATACAGGAGGTAGGCCAGCCAGCCCCAGCCAAGATCAAGGTGTTGGGGGGGGGGTCAGTTGGGAAAGGCCAGCTGAGGGAAAGAGCCACAGGCAGTTGGCCAGTGGGTCCTGCCCCATGGTCAAACTCCCAGTCAATGGGACAATTTGCATATTGGCCTTTTATTATATAGGATTATTAGTATTTCATTTATAAATGCATCTAAGCATCCCTCTGCATTTTCTTACATAGTCTCTAATACTATTTCCTTTATAAAACTGATTATGTTGCCAATTACTTCTGAATTAAAAAGATAAACGTCTACATTAGACTAAAAGTAAAATGGTTTAGTAACTTTCCTATAATTGGTTGGATACTAAACTATTCACACTCTAATTTAAAATCTCTCATCCTACTCTGGCTGAGTAGCTCAGTTGGTTACAGCATTGTCCCAATATGCCAAAGTTGTGGGTTCAATCCCCAGTCAGAGCACATATAAGAGACAACTAATGAATGCATAAATAAATGGAACAAGTCAATGTGTGTGTTTTTTTCTCTCTCTCAAATCAATGAATAATAAATTTTTAAAAATCTCTCCTTCCTATAAAACTTAAATAAGGCTCCTAAAAAAGGAGGGGGGAAAAAATACATGAGAAAAAAAAATACAAAATAAATACAATGGAACACGTCTCAGGGTTTATTGATCTATGTGCTTTGAATTGAAAGGAAATGTGTTCTTAGAACCTATCTCCAAAAAAAGGTCACCTTCACTTTCTTAATTAACCAAGGTCTCTTGTACGACAGGACCACATTTATACAAAATGACTTTCTGGTTTCCTGTAGCATCACAAGTTTCACTACAAATTCTCTTTGAATCAACTAAGGGAACTCACCTTGCATCGGAAGCAAAGTAATATTCCACCGCTTTTTCCTCAACAGGGAAAAGACAAGTTGTGCTGTCCACACGAGAGAGATTGCAGCTTCCTTTCTTATCTTTGCCTAGAGCGCAGAGTTAATAAATAAGCATGTAGAAAACTAGGACCAATATAAAAATATACATAATTTTCTAGAAAAATCAACAAAACACCATAGCAACACAAAGTAATTTCAGCAACTTTAAATGTTGAAAAAAAGTTCACTTATTTCCATGCAAGAAGAAAAAAAAAAAAGCATATACAGTGAAATAGCAACTATCAAAAAAAGCGTGGCAGATAACTGTGCTACAATATAAATGCTTTAATCTTTCTTTTCCATGTAAAAATCAAAATACTTTATTAATATCACTCGTTTCTAATAAAGCATATGTATATGTAATTAATGCATATAAGCTTGTGTACTTAAACTTATCATGAAATTACATTTAAAATACCAAAATTGTGTAATAAATAATAAAGACAAGTGGCATAGTAATTTTTGTTATCTCATAACAAAACTTCTCTAGATTTTAATAATAATTTTGTGCCCTGCTGGTGTGGTTCAGTGGCTGAGCATCGACTCATGCACTGAGAGGTTCGGTTCGATTCCCACTCAAGGCACATGCCTGGACTGTGGGCTCGTTCCACAGAGTGGGACTTGCAGAAGGCAGCCATTTCTCTCTCATAGATGTTTCTATCTTTTTTTTTTTTTTCCTTTCTCTCTCTCTCTTCCTTCTTCTATCTCTAAAATCAATATTTTAAAAAAACATATTTTTAAAAATAAAAAACAAAAATTTTTTTAAATAGTAAATTGGAAAAAAAAATAGTAAATTGGCCTAACAAATCAAGATATAGTATCCACTAACTGTAATTTAAAAACAAAACAAAGATACTTAAAACTCTAACAAATAAGGAATGAAAATATTATAAACCCAGAACCTCTTCTTTCTTAAAATTGAGTTTTCTAATATTTAAATTTGAAAAAATGAGAAATGGCCCATTTGCAATGACAATATCCTCTTAAATTCTAGCACTTTATAATTTTGGCATCTCTACTTAATTCATCAATTATTGATGAGGACTTATTTTTCCTTTTTTGCCCATTCACAAGTAAAGTCAAAACTGGAAAGCATACTGAAATTTGACAAATTATCAAATATATTTTTTAATCTATTAATTGAAGCTATACAAATGTCAGAGACAAAAGAACACCTTTCTCCAAAATCAGGACATAGTAACCGTATAACCTACGGACACAATGACCAGACAACATCATAAATATACTTGTAAAAATTCATATTGTATTAACTCTCAAAAATGCATGCCTATAAAGACTTGGAAGTAATTATTCTTAGAATCACACATCCAAAGTTCTTCATGATCCATGATTATTTGGTGAGGTTTAGGAATGAACAAATAGCTCTTCCCATCCAAATTCAATAGCAGAAATGACACTGCACTTCAAAAAATGAGTATTAGGTAATATCCTAGAAAAGATAACACTCAAGATAGATAAAACAGATCAGTGTCTGCCAGAGGCAGGGAATAGGGACCAGGGTTGATTACAAAATGGTAATGGGAGGAAACTTTCTGGGGTATGGAATTTTTCTATATCTTGACTGTGGTGGGGGTTATTGTCTTTTAAAAAGCAAATCAAGCCATAGCCAGTTTGGCTCAGTAGAGCATCAGCCTGCAATTCCAGCCAAGGGCACATGCCTAGGTTGTGGGCTTGACTCCCAGTGGAGGGTGTGCAGGAAATAGCTGATCAATGATTCTCTCTCATCATTGATGTTTCTATCTCTCTCTCCCTCTCCCTTCCTCTCTGAAATCAATAAAAAATATATTTAAAAATAATAATAAAAAGTGAATCAAGAAATAGGTAAAATGAGTCCTGATCAGTGTGGCTCATTTGGTTGAGCATTGTCCCATGCACGGAGAGGTCACCAGTTAGATTCCTGGTGGGGGCACACACCCAGGTTTCAGGTTCGATCCCCAGTCGGGGGCATGCAGAAACAGCTGATCAATGTTTCTCTCTCCCTCTCCCTTCTCTCTAAAATCAAAAAAAACATCTTTTAAAAAAATAGGTAAAATGATAGCCTAGCGCCTACACTTTTTTTAAATAAGCACAACCAGCTTTGGTTATAAAATGCACTAAGGAAGCCGAGTCTCATATACATGTGCTGGTTATTTCAGTCTTCAAGAAACAAGGTATAATTATAATATTTAGAAGAAGTTAAGGTATCATTGCCAATTTAAATGAAAAGAACATTACTTAATACCTATATGACTCTTAAATATAAAACGTCTTGCTATATTCTCTCATCCTGATTTCATTTAAATGGAATACAATTATCATCATCCATTTTATTTTGTCACCTGGAGAAAATAGTAAAAGCCTAAAAGCCAATTTAGGGTTCTCATCTTTACACAGCCCCTTCAATAAGAGGACTACTTTTAAAATTAAACTCTGTTGAGCAGCACACTCTCTACCTATTAGGAGCTGGAGAGGTAAAGGTTACTAAAATATAAAAAAGATCTGTCCCATGATAAACATTTTATCCAATTTCTTAAAACCTTAGCCAATGTTTTCCTATTGTTTCTAAAAGCAGCTTAAAACAATGTATAGGTAATGTATACCCAACAGAATTATTAACAGAAATCTGGAACACTGGATCCAAAATTTGTACTCTCACTGACAGGCTAGTTTTTCTTCTGAAAAGGGAGGGAGGGTGATAAGGAAGACAAAAAATTCTAGTATCTCAGAACTTTTATTTGGTACAGATATAATAGTGAAAACAGTTACAATCTAAAGATGAATAGATTTAGAGTATCTTGCTAAATTTTTTCAAGAAATCAAGAATTATACATTAATAACATAGGTTCTAATTTCCTAAATTTACTTTTAGTAAAAAGAAAATGGAAAGAGCACATTTTTTTAAAATCTAATTATATCAATAAATGTTCCAGAGTTTATATAGCTAAAAAAGCCTTATAAAAAATTCAAACTTGCCAAGACCGGTTTGGCTCAGCAGTAGAGCGTCAGTCTGCAGACTGAAAGGTCCCAGGTTCGATTCCGGGCAAGGGCATGTACATTGGTTGCGGGCACATCCCCAGTGGGGGATGTGCAGGAGGCAGCTGGTCAATGTTTCTCTCTCGTTGACGTTTCTGGCTCTCTATCTCTCTCCCGTCCTCTTCTCTGTAAAGTATCAATAAAATATATTTTAAAAAAAAAAATTCAAACGTATTAAAAAAGAACAATTCCAAATCCAAACAAAGCCAATCAAGATATGGAATGTAAATCTAAAAGAAAAATGTCATGCATAAAATAAAAAAAATTAAAACCAACTATGTCAGTTAAAAATTAGGCAGAATTATTCAAGTTACAACTAAGTCCAATCTATAGTAGTCTAGAACAAAATGCTCTTTTCCCCATCTTGGCATCTTAGTTATAATACAGTATTCTACCTGATTTAAATTTAAAACCAAGAAAAAAAGCTATTTTTTTTTTCAAGAAACGAATTACTAAAAGCCGTTTTCTAAATGCCAAAAGCAGACAGACAAAATATACTCTGCAAATTAGAAAAATGTCAAAATATGTTTCCCCATAAAATAAGCACATTCTTAGAGGCCCAGCACATTCATTCACTCCAAGAACAAAGAATTAGTAAAGAATGAACAAAACAGGGTAAGATTCTTCCCCATCCATGCAGTGCATTTCCCACCTCTTTCTCCCTGTGATCCCCACCGTGTGAATTTTGATCCAATCTGAGTCCTAGCTATGGATATACAACAGAAAAAAATTCTACTTGTCAGAGAAATCACAAAACAAAAACTTTTCATGTCTAGACAGAACTATATATGAGTGGACGTGACCAAAGAGGCAATTATTTCAATTTAAGGAAAACATTCTTTATATCTACTGCAATTTATACATTCTACCCATGGCGTGATGTAGGAACAGTTTTTACCTGTTCTGTAGAGTATTGGAATGTGATCAGTAGAGAGTTTATGTTCACTTCGTATACCAATCAACAGAGGACTACCTCGTCTGTTAATACAAAATTAAACCATTTTTATAAACCACACATTAATGATATAAAATTTAAATGTGATGACAGAACACTCTTCAAATAAGTTTAAATTCTCCCTCCAAGCTCAACTTCAGATATAACAGCAGATCAATATAAACAGAATTTTTAAAAAAATATTCATAACAGAGCTAGACAAATCTGACCCACAGAGCAGGTCTGTCAATTTTTACTGGAACACAGCCATGACCATTCTTTTACATACTTTCTAAGGCAACTTTCATACTACAAGAGCAAAACTGAGTAGTTGCTATACAGGCCTTTATGGTGAAGGCACATTTATAGTGTACAGAGAATAAAGTTACAATTCAAAAGTTTCAAAATACATATAATTATTAGGCATTATTAAATTTATACATACCTTGTGCCAACTGCTTGGCCAGGAAAATGAACACTTTTAAATACAAGTGCAAAAGCACCTTCCTATAGAGGGATAAAAACAAGTAAGCAATACATATGATAATCAATTATCAAATGTGAAATGTCTAATACATACTGGCTTTACTACAGTATTTTTTGTTTACATAACCACTTTTTGCAGTGTTTTTTGTTTACATAACCACTTTTTGCACTAGTTTATAAATGAGTCTAAATTTTAGGCAGACACTTCCTTTTGAGCTTTGGTGTATCAAAGATCCACTTTTTAAACAAGCTTACTCTTAAAATAGGCTCAAGAGATAATAGCTCCAAAACAGACCATTTTAATGGAAAGAACACATCCTTTTATTTTTTTTTTTCTCGGTCTAATTATATCAATAAAATGTTCCTGAGTTTTTATAGCTGCAAGTCCTATAAAAAAATTCAAGCATACTACCAATGTTTCTCAATAAATAAATCATATCTCCCATACTATATATTAATAAAGGGAAGATAGAATTAAGAAAGGACCCAAGTTCAATACCCAAAGCCCATTTTATATCACTGTTAACTTACACTCTTTTTTTACCTTGATATTGCAGATAAATATATACAATCACAATTATTAACATGCACATCATACCACCCCCTCTACCCAACTTCCTCAAGGACAGGGCCTAAAAAAATCAAGAATGAATAAAAGAGGAACCTGAGGTAGGAGAGGAAAGAAAACACCATAGAACACAGACTAGGTTATACAGTGATAGAAACAAGATAAGACTGGGAAGGCACACTACTCTGCCTGAGGGGTAAAGGGAAGGAATGGATCTCTATTTTCTCTATCTTTCTGTCTCCTCCTTTACTGTACACATCATAAGGGTGAGAAGTGAGGGTTGGACCTTCACTGAGAAGTATGGGGCTTTTAAATGGGAAAGCTAAATTATGAGTGGGGAAGCGAGGTTAGAAATCACTATGAATTTTGACTTTTGTGGATCTTTAATTTTTATTAATTAAAATACTTTTCTATAGAAGCACAGAGCCAAGGAAAAGTCCCCATAAGAAAAAATAAGAAGTTGACTAGACTGACTCAGAGACAAGAAAACATTATCCCAGAATAAAAAGTATACATTTCACTGAAACTAACCTGACAGGAAGCAAGAAAATGATGAGACCATGCTTATGTATACTGTATGCATGTTTGTGTGTGCTATGTATGGGTTTGTGTGTGTATACATGCATACTTTTTGGACAAACTAATTTTAGGTTACTTTTTTTTTTAATTTAACTTTGTATGCATTTTTTAAAAATATATTTTATTGATTTTTTACAGAGAGGAGGAGAGAGGGATAGAGAGCCAAAAACGTCGATGAGAAAGAAACACCAACCAGCTGCCTCCTGCACACCCCCTACCGGGGATGTGCCCGCAACCAATGTATATGCTTCTGACCAGAATCGAACCTGGGACCTTTCAATCTGCAGACCGACGCTCTACCACTGAGCCAAACCAGTTTCAGCGAAAAAAGTAGACTTTTAAGTGTGTAGGAAAGGAGGGTTCAACAGTGAAACAACAAGCCCTCAAAATTATTCAGGTTGGGCCGGGAACGGTTTGGCTCAGTGGATAGAGCGTCGGCCTGCAGACTGAAAGGTCCAGGGTTCGATTCCAGTCAAGGGCATGTACCTTGGTTGCAGGCGCATCCCCAGTAGGGGGTGTGCAGGAGGCAGTTGATCGATGATTCTCTCTCATTGATGTTTCTAACTCTCTATCCCTCTCTGTGAAAAATCAATAAAATATATTTTTTAAAAAAATTATTCAGGTTGGAAAGTTATATATGGAAAGTAAAAGCCAAAAAAAATTTTAAATTAGCATAGTTCCTGCTTCTCAAATTTAATTTTATTTTTTTTATATACATTTCAAATTTAATTTTAAGGACATATTATATATATAAAAAAAGATATATTATGATTAATGTTTGCAATAATTATCTTTAAAAGGGTGGTTTAAAGACTGTTGGTTGCCAGGGGTAATGGAGGTTGGGGTGAAATAGGTAAAGGGCCGGGACCGGTTTGGCTCAGTGAATAGAGCGTCGGCCTGTGGACTGAAAGGTCCCGGGTTCGATTCCGGGCAAGGGCATGTACCTTGGTTGCGGGCACATCTCCAGTAGGGGGTGTGCAAGAGGCAGCTGATCGATGATTCTCTCTCATCGATGTTTCTAACTCTCTACCTCTCTCTTCCTCTCTGTAAAAAATCAATAAAATATATTAAAAAAAAAAAAAAAAAAGAATAGGTAAAGGGTTTAAGAAGTACAGACTGGCAGCTACAAAATAGTCCCAGGGAGTAAAATACAGCACAGGAAATATAGTCAATAATATTGTAATAATTATGCATGGTGCAGGTGGGTACTGGAAATATCAGAGGAACACTTTGTAAAGTATATGATTTCCCAACCACTATTGAGTGAAAACTGTGATTAAAAAATATATTTTTTAAAGTGTTGTTTAATACCAATTGTTGAATAACTCTCTCCACCAAGGTAGTGAAACTGATATCTTGACTTTCCCGATTGTCATACATGTACTTAACAAGCTTGGCGATTGTTTCTGTGTCTGTTTCAGATTCAAAGTCATAGCCTTTACTTTCCTGTAATTAGAAAGAAAAAAAAATTGACACATTTAAGGAAATATTCATCATCTCCAAATCTTATCTACAGAATTTTTTCCTCAAAAATCTCATTAATCAATTTCTAATTCTTCTGACCACCATACCCCACTGTTCAAAATTAAGGTAACAGGAGGAAAGTCAAGATGGTTGCATAGGTAAACACAGCTCTCACCTCCTCCCACAACCACATCAAAATTACAACTAAACTACAGAATAACCACCTGAAATCTGACTGAATGGAAGTCCTGCAATTAGAGAATTAAAGAAGAAGACACATTGAGACTGGTAGGAGGGGAAGAGGCACAGGGCTGGTCCACTATCTGCATGTGGCATCTTTTTTAATCAGAAGGGATATCCTGGCTTATGCAGAGGTTCCCCATGAGATGCAAAGGGTTCCAGCCCCATACCAAACCCTCGGAAGAGAAGTGTCTATAACTTCAGGCTATAAAAACAAGTGGAGATTGTGGCACAGCTGGGTTGCTGAAGTCCCAGGCAATTTTAAAAGGCCCACACACACTTACTCTAAATCAGCGCTGGGGCAACAACTTGGAAAGGATCCAGGAACATATGGGAAGAACTAATTTGTCTGGCATCAGGGCAAGAACTGGGAGTAGCTTTATCCCAAAATACTGGCAAAGGTGCAGAGAAAACCTCCCCGCTACAGTGCCAACAGACAGTTGCCATATCTGAGTATCCATCAATTGGCCCACAAGTTTGCTCCACACTGGTGATTCCCTGAGACCCCATCCCACCCAAATTGAGTGCTCACCCAACCTGTTTGCAGTGGCTTTTCCATATAAATGGCCTCTTGGCTCAGGCTTCAGACTTTCCTAATATCTCTCAGACAAGCAGCAGCTGGCCTTAACCCTACCTCTTGATAAGTGGCCCTAGAACCAGCAATAGCAGCAGCCTGCTTTGGTTTACACCTTGGCCTCTCCTGGGCACCTCCAAGCCCAATACAAGGAGCAGCCATCTGCATATCACTCCGTAGCTTGACAGGTGTCCCCAGGCAGGGCATAAGCAGTATCTGACTTTGCACCTCCCAAGAAGCACCAGAACCAGTGTACAAGGTGGTCAACTTCAGACCATGCAAGATTACAGCCTACTACAACTACCAGTGACATACTCAAGGGGCAGACTTGGTGAGCACCAAAGCTCCACTTAAGCAAGTCCTGCTCCATAAGGGTGTCTCCTGTACAGCAGCTCTTCCTATGTAGTGAAAGTTGGTCTGCACAGCCAATTGGCCTGGGTGTCAATCACTCCCAGTGATGCCAAAAGCAATCGAGGCTCAACCACAACAGGAGAGCACATACAACCCACACAGGGGCATACATCTAGAGTGCCCAGCTCAGGTGACTGGGGAGGCTGAGCCACTGAGCTCTACAGGACATATATTACACAAGGCCACTCTAACAATTCCAGGTGACATAGCAGCTCTACCTAATACATAGAAACAAACACAGGAAAGCAGCCAAAATGCAGAGAAAAAGAAACATGTCACAAATCAAAGAACAGGAAAAGAACTAAATGAAATGGAAGCAAGCAAACTACCGGATTCAGAGTTCAAAGGATATTTAAGAAACTCAATGAGAACTTCAAGGAACTTAGTGAGATCCTCAACAACATAAAAAGGAAAAGTCAGAAATGAAGGATACATTAATTGAAATGAAGAATAATTTATGGGAATCAACAGTAGAGGATGACAAGAATCAAATCAGCGATCTGGAATGAAAGAGCAAAAAACAACCAATCACAAAAGAAAAAAGAATCTAAAAATATGAAGATAGTGTAAGATGCCTCTGGGACAACTTCAAACATACCAACATTCACACCAGGGGGATGCCGGAAGGAGAAGAAACGAAGCAAGAGATTGGAAATATATTTGAAAAAATAATGACAGAAAACTTCCCTTACCTGGTGATAGAACAAGACATGCACACAATGAACCAAAGAGGCCTATACCCAAGACACATCATAATTAAAATGTCAAAGGTTAAAAACAAAGAGAGAATCTTAAAAGCAGCAAGAGAAAAGCAGTTAGTTACTTACAAGGGAGCACCCCATATAACTCTCAGCTGATTTCTCAACATAAATTTTGTAGGAAGAAGTGAGTGGCAAGAAATATTCAAAGTGATGAAAAGCAAGGACTTACAACCAAGATTACACAGCAAAGCTATCATTTATAATTAAAGATCAGATAAAAAGTTTCACAGACAAGAAAAAGCTAAAGGAGTTCACCACCAAATGAATATTAATGAAATGTTAAAGGGTTTTCTTTAAGAAGAAGGAAAAAAGGGACAAGAAATATGAACAATAAAATGGCAATAAATACATATCTATCAACAATTGAATCTAAAAATCAAAATAAATGAACAAGGATTCTAATGAATAAAGTAAATTGATGAATAAAATAGAATAAAAAACATGGAACAGACCAACAAATCTCAGAGGGAAGAGGGGGGTGAAGAGTGGAAAGTGATTAAAGAACTTACATGCATACATGCATTTACCCATGAACACAACTATAGGGTGGTGAAGGCCTGGGACACGGTGGATCCGAATGGAGAGGGACAATGAGGGGGGAAAGAGGAGGGTGGGGAGGAACACATATGTAACATACTCAACAATAATGTTTTAAAAAATAAAATGAAAACAAACAACCTAGCTGATGTAGCTCAGTGGTGGAGCACCAACCCATGAACCAGGAGGTCACAGCTTGATTCCCAGTCAGGGCACACACCTGGGTTGCGAGCTCGATCCCCAGTAGGGGGCATGCAGGAGGCAGCCAAACGATGATTCTCTCACATCATTGATGTCTCTAACTCTCTCTCTCTCTCCCTTCTTCTCTGAAATCAATAAAAATATATTTACATAAATCTATATGCCACATATGAATTAAATAAATTTTAAATAATTAAAATATAAAATATATAATATAAAAACAAATCCCATAATGTATATGATAATTCTTTATTTAACAGTGATATTTTACTATGCAATATTATAGCCATTAAATATATGTGGCTATTAAATTTAAATTAATCAAAGTGAAATAATTTCAAATTTAGTTCCTTAGACATACTAGTTCAATATCCATATGTGGGCAGTGGCTATTCTATTGGACAGTGAAGGTTTCCATCACTACAGAAAGTTCAGTTGGACAGACTTGAGAAGCCATTATGAAAGTCATCATGATCATTACTAGGTTAGTACATAGCTATTTAGGGCATAAAATCTTCATTTTAATCTGTTCTGATTCCTCTTACATATCCTAGAATCTTTTAAAAATGGCAAATAAAGGTTTCTCTTAATGCAAAAGACATACTCCCAAAATCCCAATTTTAGTTGAGTTTCTGGGTCATTCATAACAAAGCCAAGTAATTGTTTCCTTTTCATATAAGGAACAAAAATGTTCCACTGTCAAAAAAGAAAAGTCCAATAAACCACTATACCCTTAAAACTGTCTTAGAAATTATTTGATCACACCTAGATAGTATTTATTGCACATTTCAACAAACAACCTCACTGCTCTCAGAAGTATTGTCAAATGCTGGTGTCTTTTTAGGTCAATTTACTTACCAAAAACTTTTTCAAGTCTTTATAGTTGGTGATGATTCCATTATGAATAACAATAAATTCTAAAAGAGATAAAGAAATGAATGACCAAAATTATAGGTCTAACAAACATTATAAATAGCCATTACTGTTAAGAGATTTTTCTCAAACGTCAAAAAATGTGTAGCACAACTACAGAGAGAATGATTATTCCAAGTGATCCTAAAACACAGAAATTTGATTATATATCCCTAAAGAGATATACCATAAGGACAAAAACTTAACAAGAAAAATAAACAAACAACAGTAAATATATTCTTATGGTAGTGTTGGTATTATGATTATTTTATGTTTATCATGTAACAGATAAATAAGTATGTTACTGATGTTAAGAACTGCATAAATAGCCGAAACCGGTTTGGCTCAGTGGTAGAACATCGGTCTGCGGACTGAAAAGTCCCAGGTTCGATTCCGGTCAAGGGCATGTACCTTGGTTGCGGGCACATCCCCGGTAGGGGGTGTGCAAGAGGCAGCTGGTCGATGTTTCTCTCTCATTGACGTTTCTAACTCTCTCTTCCTCTCCCTTCCTATCTGTAAAAAATCAATAAAATATATTAAAAAAAAAAAAAAAAAAAAAAAAAGAACTGCATAAATAAAAGAAAATGCATAAGTCAATCAGCTAAAGTCAAAACCTTACTGCCCTGATTCTGAATAAGAATTGTTAGTATAAAATTACATTATTTTATCTTTAAATTTAATACATGTGCAAGTGTGCACACACAGGTATGCGTATCTCCTAGCTCTGCCCACTGAAAAGACCTATGTGTGATGAACACTTCTAGGACTTGGTTTATATTCTTTAAGTATCATTTCCACTAAAAAGAACTGGGGCTTCCTTAGAGGAATGCCGGATTCTAAGCATGGGGCAGGAGTAGAAGAACGTGGAATACCTTGGTCTACCAGAAAATAAAGACTATTGAGCCCAAAGGGGTCACATCAAAAGGGCTCAGAAGCCAACCTGAGTAAGTTCCAAGGGCCAAAGATTTTTGTGTATCAATATAGACAATTACTTCAGTGTTTTGAAACATATGAAATATTTTAAATCCATGATTTTATTATTTTAAAAACTCATTATTCATTTTAGAACATATGAACCACTTCATTTTTTAAAAATGGTAAATGGGGGGGAATAAAACATTAATCCTACCTTTCCTATATGCTCTGTACCTCAGGGTAACCAAGCAGTTGATATGAAGAAGTTTCTCTTTATAACGAAGTATTTGAGATAATAAATGAAGAAGGAATGATAGTACTAGCCTATCACCAATTTAAAACCCCTAAAGAAATCATTAATCTTGGCAATGATCATCAATGACTGCTAACAATACAAAAAAAAAAAAAAAAAAATCCAACATTATGACAAGAAAAGAAATTCTGAGATGTCCTAAGTTAAATTACAGTAAGCAGGTCAAAAGAGACAAGGAGAGTTAATCAGTTAACAGACACAGGAACAAAAACAAACAAAAGACTGCTAGCATTCCTTAATGTATGTTGAAACTTTGAATAAACTTCTAGGCCCCTATTTCAGTTCTTATCTAGAGAGTATAGCCATCACCAGACAGCACCGCATCCTGTTTACAGCATAAACTTTCTGGACTGTTGACCACAATCAATCCAAAAGCAACAAACACTTCTTCCTTACCAATTTACCTAACCCAGGACCAGCCCTGCTTCACCATTTCCCACCTTCCTTATCTATAGCCAATGTAAATCTTTCAAAACAACTTACAGCTTTCTTCTCCAAAGTCATCGTATAAAAAAAAAACATCAATCCCAGGAAGGCGGGCATATTTGTCTTCCCAACTAGCCCTGATAATGGTGGTCTAAACTGTATGTCCCAGAAACTGGTCCTTTTTCTGGCTAGTTTACGGCTTGATAAATCCTTTCTTTCAAAAAATTTTCAACCTGAAAGGTTGTCATTTAACAATTATATACCTCCAGTTGTAAACAAACACTGTACCAATTTATAAAAAATGAAATGGACAGAGAAACATGTTAAATGATCCACAGGATGCATGCAATTAACATGATCTAAACTATAGAAAGTTCTATAGGACAAACAGAGTAACTGTAAGAAAAAGGGAGAGAAAGGGAGAAGTCTCTTACAAGACACATCAATCTACTAAGTACTTTTAGAGATACACTCTTAAATTTACAAAATAAATATTATGGTATCTAGCTATCTGTGATATATCTATCTATACAATATCTACTAGCTTCCAAAATAACCTAGGTAGGGGCTATGGATATATAAAACTGATCAGATATTGATAAATGTGGAGGCTGGGTATTGGATGCATCAGGTTCTACATATTCTCTATATATGAATATGTTTGAAATTATCCAAATTAAAATGATGAAAACATAAAAAATTCCATTCTTTTCCCATTATTGAACCTCTACAAAGCATTATTATGTCCATACCATTATTTTTATCAGAGCGCTGTGGATGGCTATTGACAGGATTGGGTTCACCATGTGTTGCCCAACGGGTATGAGCTATTCCAAGGTGTACATCAAATTCTATATCCAAATCCATATCCTGTTGTTCTGAAGATAAAATGAAAAATTCCAATATTAAATTATGCTGCAGAGATAACACTATATTTCAATGTCATTACTATAGCACTGTTTACCTGGAATATACAATTATTAAAACTAAAGATCAAGTACACTCAAAATAGTAATTAAAAGATTTAGAGGAGTTAATGCAGGATGCAGCTGAAATATTTAGAACAAATGGTTCCAATAACAACCCAAGAAAATGTATTCAAAGAGATAAAGCACCCTGGCCAGTGTGGTTGTGGGATCAATCCTGGCAGGGCACACGCAGAAAGCAACCTATCAAAATTTCTCTCTCTTTTCCCCTCTTCTTCCCTCACTCTCTCCCTTCTTCCCTTCTTCTCTCTAATATCAATTTTTTTAAAAAAGATAAAGCAAATGTGACATTGTTAACAAATGGTAAAGATAGATGAAATATATGGGTAGATAATGTAACATTTTTTCTACTTTTCTGGAGGTTTAAAAATTTTCACACTCAGGAGTTAAGGACAAAGAAAGAGAATGTGATTTTTTAAATCTATATTTAATCTTCATTTTGGAAATAATCAGTAGTTTTAATTAGACACGTAAAAATAAATTCATTTTCTCAGTGTCACATAGCCTTATGACTACCATTTCTTTGGAACCCAAACATATCTCATAATATAAACTGCAATTATGAAGAGCTTCCAAAATCAAAAGAATAGGTTCTTGTGAACTATGAAAATATGGGGTTATAGACTGATGCTCCTTAATCTTGAAAAGCAGCTATTCTGATTCTTTTTTTCGATAAGCTCTCTCTTTTTGCTTCTTCTGGGGGCAGAGGAGAAGAGGAAGAAGAAAAAAAAAGATAGTTCTAGTATGCCCTTTTAATACTAATGCCCTTTTTCTAATTTCCTAAATATAAAATTCATTTAGCTAAGATAAAACTTATCAAATAACAAAACTTATTAGAATTGGGTCTAAATTAGGAATAAACTGCTCAAAACTCTGAACATCCATGCACTTTAGCTTAGTCTTTAGCATAGTCTTTGTGGTTTTTATACTGGCTAATGAGAAGTCATTCTAAAATACAAATCTGATAAAAAAAAATAAGGTTTAAAGTCCTTGAAGACTTCCATTGCTTGAAAGAGGGGTATGCACATATGAATCATCCTAAACCTAGTCACAGAGATTTGCAAAAAGATCCTCAAATTCTAACATATAACCAGAGAGCCATTTTCTCAAAACAAAGCCCCAATACCTTTTCATAGCATATAAAGTACTGCATATCTGTCCCCTGTCTACCTTTCTAGCCTCATCTCCCAGCCCTCATCACTGTGATCCATGCCACCACCATCTCACCTGAACTACTTCGACATAATTCTCACTAGTTTCCCTATATCGTCTTGCATCTGTACAATCTATTCTGCACACCAACAAATGTGATCCTTTCAAAACCAAGTCAGATCGTGTCACTCCCCTACACAGATTTTTCTAATGGCTTCGCATAACACACACAGTAAAATCCATCATTCTTAAGATCCTACATGACCTAGCTCTCAGCCACTCTCTAGCTTCATTCCCCACCACTCTCCTCACTTACTGCGCCTTAGCTTCACTGACTTTCATCCTTACGGTAGCCAAGCCCTCACGGGGTCTTTGCACTTGATGTTCCTTCTGGACAAAATTCCCTCTTTCAGACAATCACATGGTATCTGCTCAAATGTTACCTCTACTATTCATTTTCTTCATAGCATTAATCAATACCTAATATCTGTCTGCCCGTCTCATTAAACAGTAAACTCCATCATAGCGGAGGGTTTTGTCTATCTTGTTCTGTTTTATCCTCAAGGCCTAGAATGATGGATGATATATAATAAGTACTCAATAAATATTCATTTTGTTATTGAATTCTCAGAATACTCTTTGAGGAGGGTATATGAAAATACGATTTCATATATCCCTCAGTTTCCTTACTTGTATCTTCTGTCTTCTTACCAACTTCATGTCCAAGGCATGCCCTTTTCTCCATTTACAGATTAAAAAAAAATGAGGCTCAAAAAGATCACAAAATCTGCCTACCAAAGGTCACAGTGAATAGTAAGTAGAGATAGGAATTCAACCCAAATCTGGTTTACTCTAGAGCCTAAAATTAAAACCACAATGGTGCCCAGCTGATGTGACTCCGTGATTGAGGTCAACCCAAGAACCAAGAGTTCACCAGTTCATTTCCCAGTGGAGGCATATGCCAGGGTTTCGGGCTCGGTTCCCAGTAAGGGGCATGCAGGAGGCAGCCAATCAATGTTTCTATCTCTCTATCCCTCTCACTTTCTCACTCTCTAAAAATCAATAAAAACATATTTTTTAAAAATACACACAATGATAAACTCTGCTGCACTATTTACTACATTTATGATGTTGTCAATCTGGCTTCCATCTGAATTTGAGTTCTACAAAAGCAGCAGAGTTTACCATTGTGTGTGTTTTTTTACTATCTTTGAACTGTAAGCACTAACAGCTAAAAAGGGCAGATACTCAAATCTTTATTGGATGGCTCCACCAATAAACAGATATAATCATCAATGCATTCTTTCCTGGCTTATCTGTGGTAAGCCAGGTAATAATTAAGGTGACCTAATAAATGACCTCCAGAAAAGTAAAGAATACTATTTATCCCTAGCTAACAAGCTAATGCAAGTAATAAAAGCATCTGATTAGTTTTTTAGGTTAACTATAATTAAAGTATTATTTCCCCCAACATGCTGGCAAGCAATACTGGAGAGTTTTTAACAAGAATCTGTAAATTAAATCCATATCAAGTTCATACTAATTACCAACCCTATTTACTTCACTGTTGCCATTTAAGAAACATGTACCCATGTTCCTTATTCATAAAACTGATAGGTCATTCAATTCCCTAGCCGTTCATGATATCTTTTCTATTCTCCTTAAGCCTCAATTCTACCTATATTCCTTCAGTTCCCTCTTTACTAAGCTTTTCCCCTTACCTCATAACTGTCTAACTTAGCTTTTCTTTTAAGTTCAACTTCTATAAAGGTTAATTCTCTCCTGTGCCTTCACCTATCTGTAACCCCTCAATAATTTTCTTACTTGTATCTTCTGTCTTCTCCCTAACTTCATGTCCAAGGCTTGCCCTCTTCATACCTTTTCTTAGATGTCACCCTTCTCTTTTTTATTTTAATATTTCAAACATTTAAGTTTGCTGACAATGATAAAGACTCAAATACCTACATCCAGAGATAACAAATGTCAACATAAATGGTTCTACTCCTTATATATCTTACACTGCAGGTTGCTTTTTTCACTCAGCATTAGGTTCCCAGTAACTCTCCAGGTCCCCACATGCAGAACCAGATATGGTGCCCTCCTTTCAAATGAAAGATCCAGTGCCCTTATTTCAAAAGTTACATACGTTCATTCACTGTCATTATAATTTATTATCCCATTGCCTTACTGGTATTAATTATCCAAAATTAATAAATCACTTTGTTGAGCAATCTGGCAATGTCTATAAAAGAGATGCCTATCCCCTGTTGGTCATATACTTAAAAGAAATACTGTTGACAAGGAGCCATGACAAGATTCATTGCAGCAAAACATAGAAACAACCTCTATGTCTACCAATATCACCCCAATAAATTTAATTTTAAAATTTTTTTAAAAGGACTCTCTCCCACCCGGCTGGCATGGGTCAATGGTTGAGCATCAACCTATGAACCAGGTCGTGGTTCGATTCCCAATAAGGGCACATGCTTGTGTTTCGGGCTCAATCCCTAGTGTGGGGAGTGCAGGGGACAGCTGAACCATGATTCTCTGTTTGTTTGGGGGGTTTTTTTCGTGTGTTTTTTTTTTTTATTGTTTGAAGCAGTACATATGTCTCCTTTTTCCCCCCCTTGACCTCCCTCTAGCCTCCCTTACCCATGATTCTCTCTTAACCGTGATGTTTCTACCTCTCCCTTCCTCTCTGAAATAAAAACTTTTTTTAAAAAGTAAAATAAATGTTTAAAAAGGACTATCTCCCATTCCATCAACAAACTTGCCTTCCTTATTTTTGTCCTATGAAAGGCCCTTTCTCACAAATTGTGGTTTCTTCATTTTAGAATACTGATCTTGCTCTAAATGCAGTGGACCTAACTAATTTCCTTCCCTGATTAATATGATCATTTTTGAAGCTCAGGTATATTTTAAAACTAGTACAGACAATAACGAAACTATTTTTCTCCTCTCCTTCAATATTAAGAATCATTAAATGGGCACAAAAATATGGGAGGAATGGTGATATGACAAGGGAGAAGGAAGTAAAGAGGGAGGGGGACAAAAACTAAACTAAGTACATTACTGTGAACTTCTTCATCCAGTGCTTTTACTTTCCCCTTCTTCTTAATGAGCTGGATTTTGCAGGCATTTGCTTCCCAATCTTTGTCATTGCCTCCATCAACTCCCACACCTAAATCATCAAAAGGCAGAATAGCAAGATTTAAAAACTATTACTTAGATTATCAGTGTGAGGCAAAATTTTTAATTAAAATATTTCTCATCTAATTAATTTTCTTACCAATTCAACATATATTAAACATCCATTACATGTCAAAAAAACAGAACAGCTGATACAGACAAAAATGAAAATAACCCAGTTCCTTTCCACAAATTTCTTACAGTGTATTGAGAAGACAAAAAAAAACAAAACATAATTATCGATACATTCAGTCTGGTTTCAGGTTATAAAAAAAGAATAGCTTGTGAATAGAGTACAACAGAGAAAAACAAGATGGGCACCCACCTCAGAAGCAGAATAAAGAGGGAATGTCAAGACTCTCTTGAGATTCTACTTAAGATCCTAAGAAGTCTGACAAAGTTACTCTAAAGTACTGGAAAAGCAGAGTAATTTGAGTTAGAGAAATCACATGGCAAAAAAAGTTTTAAAAATCTCTTTGAAAACAGTGTAAGAAATTAGACTAGAGAAACAGAAAGGAGAAACCAGTTCTCAGAAGTTATAGCTCTAGCATATCTAAAGAAAGAGGGCCTGCCAAAGCCGGTTTGGCTCAGTGGTAGAGCGTCGGTCTGTGAACTGAACGGTCCTGGGTTCGATCCTGGTCAAGGGCATGTACATTGGTTGCGGGCACATCCCCAGTGGGGGGTGTGCAGGAGGCAACTGGTCGATGTTTCTCTCTCATCAACGTTTCTAGCTCTCTATCTCTCTCCCTCCCTCTCTGCAAAAAAATCAATAAAATATATTTAAAAAGAAAAAAAAAGAAAAAAGAAAGAGGGCCTGAACTAAACAGTGGTGATGAAGATAGATATGGGTGATATTGAGTAGAAATGACTAGATATAACATGGGAAAGCAGGAGAAGTCTAGAATACCTCCTAGGCTCAAACAAAGGTCTTGGTGATAACAGTCATACAGAAAGACTTGATTGGAGAGTGGGGTGAAAACTGGATCCTCAGTTAAATTATAAACATACAAAGGTTCTAATATCTTGATTATTGAGCAAGAAATATCTAGGAGACTGTGCAACTTGGGGAAAACATCTGGATTTTAAGACACCAACATATGAGAAGCTGGTGAAGTCAAAGCTCACCCATGAAGAAAAGTGGGCCTAGGACTGTATCTTGTAGAACATTAATATTAAAGCAATAGTGGAAGAAAAAAAGGCCCCAAAGCAGACAGAAAAGAAATAATCGGTATGTAAGGAAGACAAGAGATATGTTGTCAGAGAAGCTAATGAAGGAGAGAATTTTAAGAACAAAGTAGTTGAGGAACTGATTTGCCATTAACTGAGGAAAGTCATCCTATATAATAAAAGGCTAATATGCATACTGTCCCCCCTGGAGCTCGACCACTCGCTATGATGTGCACTGACCATCAGGGGGCAGTGCAGAATGAAGGAAGGTCCCAGCCGGCAGCCAGCAGCTGGGGGAGGAAGGCCCTGATAGCCCTGATCACTGGCCAGGCCTAGGGACCCTGTGCATGAATTTTGTGCACCAGGCCACTAGCGAAAGATAAATGCCCATCACAGCTGGCAATGTTAAATGTACAGAAAAAGAGTTAACAGAGTAGGCCTGACACTGCTATCCTAAGAAAGGCCTGCTTGCAAAGTTGGGCTTTGGATTTCACAAGGATTCCCAACACTCTAACTGATACAAAATAGCTCACTTCACCGAAACAGTCAGTACACCATGTGGCTTATGCTGAACAACTGCTTCTCTTCTAGGAGTCTGTAATTTTGGTACATATTAGATACAGGGTGATATATGACCAGCCCCCAATAAAAACCTTGGGCATTCAGGTGCCAAAGAGCTTCCCTGGTACACATTTCACACAAACTGTCACAACTTTCTGGGGGAATTAAGAACACCTAGTAAGACTCCACTGGGAGAGAACCCTTAGAAACTTGTGCCAGATTTCCCCTAGACTTCACCCATGTGCCTTAACTCTTTGCTGATTTTGCTTTGTTTGTATTCCTTTGTTGTAATAAATCATAGCCATGAGTACAACTATATGCTGAATCCTTCCAGAAAATCATCAAATCTGAGGGTGGTCTTGAGGACCCCCAATACAGTTAAGGGAAGACACTAAAGTAGAACATAAAGTTGACAAAACGTTATTTTTATTTGCTTTATCATTTATTTAGGGGAAAGGACTCTTAAGAAGTTTACATACCAAAAGTCAGGAATACCTGGAGAAAATCAAATTAAATTTATAGGAAAGAATAAAGATAAGTTATGGAATAAGTCCTCCAAGATCTTTGTTCTACCATGAAACTATCCCAGATGATTTATGTTTTTACAGTAACATTCTTAACAAAAGAAGATATCTCTAAGAAGCAATACTTGTCTACATAAATGATAATACTGTTGAAATTACATAAACAAACCCTTTAAGTATGATAAAAAGACAATTGTTCAGATTTTAGATTTGCCCAAAATAAAGCAAACATTACTACAGAATCTAGTCACCTAAAACAAAAATTTTTCCATTTACATTCAGTAATCATGCAAAACTCGTATTTATTTTTAAAGAAAATACCTGCAGAATCGTATCCTCTGTACTCCAGTCTCTGAAGGCCTTTGATTAGAGTCTCCAAGATTTCTCGTCTTGTGCGAGGGACATGGTAGTTTAAGTAAGCAAATATACCTGCAAATAAACAAACACTTAATAAAAAATTGTCTAAAGATTAAAAATTAATATAATTATGACATATTTCCATTTGCATAATAATGCCTAAGAAGTGCGAAAATGTGAAGAGTCCATCTTTAAAAGAGAAATAAAAGAGAAATAACTCCTCACTTCAAATTGTCTAAAGGCAGTGAAACTTTTTCAAAGGGGGGTTTCTCATTTGTAAAAGACTAAAGCAAATATGTCAAAATAAATGCTCATTTTGCCGAGCTGGGTGACTTAGTGGTTGAGCATCAACCTATGGACCAAGAGGTCACAGTTCAATTACTGATCAGGGCACATGCTCAGGTTGCGGGCTCCACCTCCATTCGAGAGCATGCAGGAGCCAGCCAGGCAAAGATTCTCTCATCACTGGACTGACTGTCTCTCTCTCTCTCTCTCTCTCTCTCTCCCCCCCCCCTTTCTCTCTGAAGTCAATAAAAATATTTTTTAAATAAATAAATAAATATCTTTTTTTTTCCCCCCCAAAGAAGCTCATAAGAAGATGGTCTGCCATTACTGCCATTTTGTTAGGTAAAATTTAATTTTAAAAAACTGACCAATCAACAACTTTGCTAAATACTGAGTATTATGTTTAAAGAAAAGCATGTCCTGGAGTATTTTAAGCTACATGTAGATCTTACAAAACTACCTGTATAGATGAAATAATTTTTCTTTCAATAATCATGTTATCAATCAATAACATTTAGGAATAAGTAGTTTATAAATATCAATTCTGTAAAAAATACTACCTAAATATTCTACTAATGTGAGGAAGTATTAAAAATATATATAATCATGTCAAAAGAAAATAGCTTGAATCACTTATTCACCAGTTACTAGCTAACAACAAATAACTGTAATATTAACAACTTTTAAGAATTCATAGAGGGGAAAAAGCAATAATTTGGAAAATCAAAACTAGGGGAAAAAAGAACTAGTACATATGAACTGAGCAAGGCAAACAAAGAAGTAGTAAACAGAACACAGGCAAAAAATATTCACATTTTAGGAATAGCAGTATGGAAATTATCTAAGACCTCCCATGATTGTGCTTTGGTCAACGTAGAGAGAACACTGAAGACCAAAATATGAGGAAATTATAAGCTCAAATTGCTTTTTTATAAAATAATTTCCTTTTTCTTATATTACACTATACTGTCACTGAATCATAAGGAAATAAAATTAACTCGGTGAAGTAGAATTCCAGAACAACTAGTCTTTATTTCCATTTGAAAAGATCTCTTTATTCTCTAAATAGCTTGGTCCTATTGAAGCATTTCAGCATTCAAAAATACTGAGTTGTTAATATCCAACAAAGAAGCCATAATACTGGTTTGCTAAGCATCATGATCAGTATAATTTTTTCAGACAAACCATCATGCCCTTAAAAAAGAGGAAATTCACATTTTATTTCTTTTTAAATGTTTTTGATTTATTATTATTTTTTAGAAAGAGGGGAAGGAAGAGGGAGAAAAAGATAGAAATATAGAACAGCTGCCTCTGGCAAGTCCTCTGCTGGCATCTTAAATTAAATACCATATGTCAAAACTCCAATTCAAAAATCTACCTCTTGAGTCAGAAAGCTCTACTATTACAAATAATTATAACTGTCCTTTTCTTTTTCTTTCTTTTTTTTTTTTTTTTTTTTTTTTTTTTGGTTCACTATTGGGACAAAAAAAAGGAAAAGAGGAGAAGTTGAGGAAGAAGAAGTAGGAGCAATATTTCTCCTTACATCACTGAACAGGACCTGGAAGAAAAGGATGACACACATAAAGAAATTTTCTAAGATCAAAGAAATAGAGATGATAGAAGGAAGAAAGGGAATTAACCTAAGTCATCCCTTGTTAGGAAAATGAAAGATCAAGAAAAGCATTGAATCTGCCAAAAGATTGAATCTGCCAATTTTATACTCCTTGACAGACCCAGTGGCCTAAAGACAGTCCACCTGTTGGGATTAGTGAGTTACCTGTAATCTTGGGGTGGCTGGGAAAATATAATGCCATATAACCAGCCATCAGGCATGCAAGGGCATGTTTACAAGGGAGGTATTCTTAACTCAAAACAGTGTTTATTAGAGTAGATCGATCCCATTTCCAGGTCTTTAACTTGTCTTATCAAACCTCCCATAGACAGTTCTGCTTAGGGTAAGTACAAAATCCTAAAAATATTCTCCACTGCTCTTCAGTAATTGCTCCCAAACCACACAAAGTAGTTGTAGGGAGCACAGGAGATTTCCTGTTCCCAAACCAATAGATGCTTGTACCTCCAGGCATCAATCTCAGAAAATGGCAACTTAAATTCAAAGCACTTAGGAGCACTCTGCTTAATAACCTGGATCATAGACTTGACACACCTGGTTAAAGCAACTTAGTCATAAGTAAAGATTTTTAAGCCTTATTAAAATGAAAACTGAGCCGGGACCGGTTTGGCTCAGTGGATAGAGTGTCGGCCTGCGGACTGAAATGTTCCGGGTTCGATTCCGGCCAAGGGCATGTACCTTGGTTGCGGGCACATCCCCTGTGAGGGGTGTGCAAGAGGCGGCTGGTCGATGTTTCTCTCATCGATGTTTCTAACTCTCTGTCCCTCTCAATTCCTTTCTGTGTAAAATCAATAAAATATATTTTTTTAAAAATGAAAATGAAAACTGAATGCAATTTAGCTAACTAATCAAATTATTAAAGTTCCTATGCCTGGTTGGATTTACACTGAGTGGCCAGATTATTATGATCGCTGAACCCATAATAATCTGGCCACTCAGTGTATATTCTATATAATAAAAGGCTAATATGCAAATTGTCTCCTCGGCCAAGAGTTTGACCAGCAGGCAGGCTGGCCAACTGCCCATGTCCCCTCCCTCTGGCCAGGCTGGCTGGACTCCACCCATGCACGAATTTATGCACCAGCCCTCTAAAATACACACACACACACACACACACACACACACACACACAAAAACACACACACTTAGTGGCCAGATTATTATGCGCTCAGAGATCATAATAATCTGGTCACTCAGTGTATGTCCTTATGAATAAGAAATTTTACTTCTACCTATTTTTTTTCACTTAGCAACTTCAGTATTTTGAGACCATAAATAGAACTCATCAGTGTTAAGTGTTCATATTCTCTAAATTTTGTACTTTCTCAAACTCCATCTACAATAACGATTAAATTTCATTTATTTGTTTTATTTTTGTTAATCCTTGCAGGGATTATTTTTTCCCATTGATTTTGGGTTGTTTTTTTTTTTTCAGAGAGAGTGAGAGAGAGGGTGGGGGTGATAGAGAAAAAAAAGAGAGAGGAGAACATCTATGTGAGAGAGATACATCGATTGGTTGCCTCCCACATGCACCCAACCTCGGCTGTGGGTCAAACCTGAAACCCTGTTATCCACCTTTGACTAGAAATTGAACCTACAACCCTCAATGCATAGGACAATGCTCCAACCACTGAGACAAACCAGCCAGGGTCAATTAATTTCATTTAAAAAAATTTTCTTGCCAAAACCTGTTCGGCTCAGTAGTCAAGAGCATGTACTTTGGTTAAGGGCACATCCCCAGTGGGGGGTGTGCAAGAGGCAGCTGATCGATGATTCTCTCTCATCAATGTTTCTAACTTTCAATTCCTCTCTTCCTCTCTGTAAAAAAAATCAATAAATTTTAAAAAAAATTCTTATAATGAAAGTTTACAAATTAATTCACCACTATTAAAGATTCAGATTACACAAAGGCTACAGAACGAATTGTGAAAATCTCTTTCTAAAAGGTGAGATAACCAACATTAACTTAATACACATTGTCCCAATCTTTCAGCTATGTTTTTACATAAATGAACCTAGATATATGTGGCTTTAAAGGGCTTTTTAAAAACACATAAATTTGATGACACTATATATATAGTTCTGTACTTCTTTAATTAAAATGTTGACACTGTTCTATGTTGGTACAACACATCTACCCAATTCTACCTAACAGCTGCATATCAGTCCATAATAGTTAAATTTTACCTAACCATTTCCCTATTGGGATTTTCCTACCTCTTTGAAATTATGAACAATACTGCAATTAAAGTTATACACATCAACTAAATATTTGTCATAAAACACAGTTAATACTACTATAATTGTGGAGGCACATTCAACAGGTAAGATCCCTTTAGGAGTTCAATAGGTAAGACCCCTTTAGAAGATGAAATATTATGAGATAAAATTTTCTACATTCCTAAAAACAAAATAAAAAATTATATAGAGTGACACAATGAGGAATTTCAATTATTTATGTGTTTTCTAATTGTTTAAAAATATTCTTCCTATTTACAAATGGGGTTTGAGTGGCCCTTACTTCGTTGGAAATATATATTGCCACTAGAAGGAGCTCTATAACACCTCTCCTGCACATTTAACAATCTGGAACTCTAAGCACTAAACACTGACACCTCTAGTTATACTATCCCTCACAGTCTATTTATGTCATCTTTCCTGAGAAAAATCATGCACTTCTTGCTCACAAATCTTCAAACGTTTAATCTCCCCCACTTCTCTCTGATCAATCAAATCAAACAGTTTTTCATTTTCCTTCCAAGTCAGCTTTTACTCTGTATCCCTGATGCCCTTACAGTGAGATCCATCCATGCATTTCAGGTTCACTTGCAAAATGGCCCTTCCAACAGCTGACCAATCTTGTTAATTCAGTTTGTCTAACTTTCCCCCAGATATTTTTCTAAAGGCTAGAATCTAGACTACTCTCAAATTCCCATTTCTCCCTTCCCAGCTTCTTTCTCAAGATTCTCACTTTATAGAACCGAAGTCTTCATCTTCATATTAACAACATAATGCATGATATACCCTTGTCCTTCCTTATAAGCTCAAAACAGAAAACATATTCTACATATATTAACCAGCCTCTCCTGCTCATAACTGTGGATAAGTATGGAGGAGAGACTGTTCTGTGAGGTGACTGCTGCCTGTCCAACAAGCT